AATTTCCTGATGTTCCATGGATTGGTCCCCAACACTTTATACAAATATTCTGAAGTTCTTGTACTGTAAAAATTATACTTGGACAATTTATAAAGCCATGTTCATAATATAGGCGAATATGGCAGGGGTCTTTATAATATTCCACTATATGGAATTGTTCATAATCAGAATTTCTTTTATGCTTTCTATTGTTGTAATTCTTAAATGAGGATTTCATAATGCCTTTTAACTATTTTCATAAGGAAAACTGTATAAGATTAAAGTGTAGAGTAAATATCCTGCTGATGTAAATCATGGAAAATGTAAATAAAAGCTTTATTGTAGCTTTCTTAGTGATTCCTACTGCTTTAAATGTACGTATGAATTCTTGAGAAATTAGATTTAAGATACAGCATAGGTCTAGAGTGAGGCAAGATTAACAGTATTATTAGAAGTCTAGCTCCAGTGCTCCATACAAAATAGCAGTGATTGGATTTTGTGATATTATAATTATAGGCATGGTTGATATAAAAGTCTCTCTTATTTGAGAAAATTTTACAACATTTGATTGCTTTGCTGTAAAGGGTCACTAATTGTTTAAAATTGGCCATAATAAGGATTCTAAAAATTTCTTGATGGTGTTTTTGAAAACTGGAATTAAATGATTAAGGGATTCTTTACAGGCTAAGAATATTTGTTGGTTTCAAATTCTTGTTAACAAAAAAACATTTGTTGAAATCTGGAGTAAATCAGGATAAAATGTATTGAAATAGTCAAGTGTAGGTAAATGATTTAATATGCCAACCAACTATTTTGCTGTATTTGAAACTAGTGGAATGAGAAAGGGATTATATTGCATCCATGCTTGAGTAATTTTCCAATCAATAATGTTGTTAAGTAAAAATAGTTTAATAGTATCAAGCACTTTATACAAAAGGTGATTTCTTCTTGTCAAAAATTAATAATCTTTTTTAACACTTTTCTATTCCTGTATATATATTGTGAATTTATTGTTAAATGATATAGTACAATTTTAATCCAAAAGGCTTAACAACTTATTGAAGATTGTTTGAATTATTTAACAGCAATTATAAACTCATGATTATCTATTTTTAGTTCATTATAATTTTGAACTAAAAAGATTTCTAATAGGGAATCTAGAAAACATCCTTCTCTAGCTAATATATCAGCTGGATCATTATATTCATTTCCAGAGTATTTTAGCTTTAATTAATTTAATATCCAATTTTTAAAGTTGTTTTGACATATTTGATAGCTTGTCATATTAAGACGTTGATTTTTTGAAATTGATCACACAACACCCGATCTCAAATATATTGTCAGCATAATTGTTTCTTAATTCTTCTATTTCGGGATATATGGATAATATTATAATAAAGGTAAATGTGATCATGCTAAATAATCATTATAGGCTAAAGTATGAAGTATAATGTAAGGTTTTGTGGTAACATCTATTGATTTCAATATCATTAAGCTTGATATTTTATCTAGATAAACCAATCCATCCGATGTTAGTATTACGTTGGACAGTTTATCCACATAATTACCATTGTCATCTAAAAGATATATGTTTCATAATAAATCCTCTGTAATATAAATCTCTCAAATCAATGTCCAATATTATTTGTTGGATTAAAAACTATATTAATCATTCTAAGTCTCCAGTTGATAAAAATTTCAACTGATAGTATTAGCAATTATGCATATCAAGTTACTCAATCCAAATGAACCTATTAGATCTTCAATTAAAGACTTTCTTTCATCAGACTTTACGACATACTTATATATTTCAAAATCTAAAAATTTTCCTTTCTTTTTTCATCGCTTGCTTTGTTTGAATTAATATAATCTTGTAAAGTTTGAAACATTTTTGTTTGGTCTGCTTTAGGACCAGAAGGTCTATCTCTTACAGATTTGGGGATCCATTCTGTAGGTTTATTTAAGTATTGGGAATAATTGTGAGAGAATAATTGTGAAACTCCATTTTGATGGCATGACAGCTAACTTAATTATTACACTTATAAACTTGATTAGAATTTCTTAAGCATAGACAATTAATGCCTGACATGACTGTACAAAATGCCATTATTATCTATTCATTTTGTGCCAAAACCTTCATACATTTGTCTGATATACAAGGTTCATATATTTTGGCCCATTCTAATGAAATGTTATTAAAATTATGTTTTCCTTTCTTTTTTAATTTAGCAAATTGATTGTTGGTTGCTTTGCAAAGAATGTTATCAATCAGTTAATAGTATCTTGTCATTTGTCTATGTGATAATAGTTAGCCTATCTATTTTGATTGAAGATAATAAACCATTAATAATTGTATCAAAGTAATATGAATATTTGTTAATGTAGAGATTTAAATCAAATATATTTGATTTCTTTTTTTCAATATAATATTGATTTAATCCATGTTTATTACTGTATGCCATTAGACTTTTATATATCTTGTATAAAATCTATTTCTTTAAATTATTGCTGCAATATTGCTATAAAGTAGTGAATTAACTATCATTTCTTTAAATAATTGCTGCAATATTGTTATAAAGTAGTGAAGTCATAAAATATATTGTTAAAATAATTATTTTTCTCTTAAAATAACAACTTGCAGTGCTCCATGCAAAATAGCAGTGATTGGATTTTGAGACTAAGCTCTAATTCCTTAATTGATTTACATGTTTTTACTAAGTTAGATAAAATATTATCACTAATTTTAGTACTACAACTAAGGAATTCAACTCCTGAAAAGCAGCTTTCAGCTCCATTAATAAAGTATACCATAATGATAGGCATAACCAATATAAAAGTATCTCTTATTGAGAAAATTTTACAACACTTGATTGCTTTGCTGTAAAGGATCACTAATTGTTCAGAGTTGGTCATAATAAGAATTCTAAAAATTTCTTGATGTTTTTTTTTTGAAAACTGGAATTAAATGATTAAGAGATTCTTTACAGGGCTAAAAATGTTTGTTGGTTTCAAATTCTTGAAACATTTGTTGAAATCTTGGAGTAAATCAGGGTAAAATGTATTGAAATAGTCAAGTATAGGTAAATTGAACATTGATGATTTAATATGCCAACTAACTAATTTGCTGTATTTGAAACTAGTAGAATGAGAAAGGGATTATATTTCATCCATGCTTGAGTAGTTTTCCAATCAATGATGTTGTTAAGTAAAAATAGTTTAGTAGTATAACTTTGTACAAAGGGTAATTATTTCTAGTTGTCAAAAATCAATAATCTTTTTAACACTTTTCTGATATTCCTGTTGATATATATATATATTGTGTAGATAAACCCATCATCCAATGTTATTAGCAAATGTGATATTGTTCTTAATTTCTTTTCAGAGAATTGTAATTTTTTCCTCTGCTGTTTATTTAAAAAGATGAGTAAAAAGCATATCAATATAAGTATATTAAAAAAGGCAAAACTGCCAATTTGTGCTGTAATATCCACAAAATAACTGTTACATATATTAGAGTATTATTGACCATAATTAGATAATTAAATTGTAATTAATTTTGCTAATACAATTTGTATTCTAATAGAGTATATTTATAATATAACCTAAGGATAGGTGATCGTACCCTCTGATATGCCTACTAAGTCAATATCTTCACAATATTCTGAATTATTTTCTCTGGATGCTCTATTATATTATTGATCATATATGTTGGTATATGTGTGGATTTTTTTTTCAATCTGGCCAAATTTAGATCTTGTAATACTACCTGATGTGACAAACAGATGGAGCTGAGACTTGCAGTTATGAGATTTTTCTAAACCATGATTCTGAAGAGTATGTTTTATCCACATGATTGCATATAATTACCATTATCATCTAAAAGATAAAAATCCATTGCATTATGAATATGTTTCATAAGAAATCCTCTGTAATATAAAGTTCTCAAATCAATGTACATATCATTTGTTGGATTAGGAACTATATTTAATCATTCTAAGACTCCAGTTGATAAAAATCTCAACTGATAGTATTGCCATTCTGTAGGTTTATTTAAGTATTAGGAATAATTGTGAGAGAATAATTGTGAGACTCAATTCTAATGGCATGATGGCTGACTTAATTATTACACTTATAAACTTGATTAGAATTTCTTAAGCATAGACAATCAATGCCTGACATGTCTGTACAAAATGTCATTATCTATTCATTTTGTGCCAGAGCCTTCATATATTTTGTCTGACATACAAGGTTCATATACTTTGACCCATTCTGATGATATGTTATTAAAATCATGTTTTCTTTCTTTTTTAATTTAGCAAATTGATTGTTGGTTGCTTTGCAAAGAATGTCATCAATCAGTTAATAGTATCTTGTCATTTGTCTCTGTGGTAATAGTTAGCCTATCTATTTTGATTGAAGATAATAAACTATTAATCATTGTATCAAAGTAATATGAATATTTGTTAATGTAGAGATTTGAATCAAATATATTTGATTTCTTTTTTTCAATATAACATTAATAATGATTATGATAATTTAATCCACGTTTACTGTATGCCATTAGACTTTTATATAGAATCTAACTATTTCTTTCTTTAAATTATTGCTGCAATATTGTTATAAAGTAGTGAAGTCATAAAATATATTGTTAAAATAATTATTTTTCTCTTAAAATAACAACTTGCAGTGCTCCATGCAAAATAACAGTGATTGGATTTTTCTAATTCCTTAATTGATTTACATGTTTTTACTAAGTTAGATAAAATAATATCACTAATTTTAGTACTACAACTAAGGAATTCGACTCCCGAAAAGCAGCTTTCAGCTCCATTAATAAAGTGTACCATAATGATAGGTAATGACTGATATAAAAGTATCTCTTATTTGAGAAACTTTTACAACATTTAATTGCTTTGCTGTAAAGGGTCACTAATATTCCATCCATGCTTGAGTAGTTTTCCAATCAATAATGGCTTTCAATCAACTCCACCTGTCAATGTTGTTGAGTGAAAATAGTTTAATAGTATCAACCACTTTATGCAAAAGGTGATTTTCTAGTTGTCAAAAATTAATAATCTTTTTTAATACTTTTCTGATATTCCTGTTGATATATATATATATATTGTTAAATGATATAATACAATTTTAATCCAAAAGGACTAACAATTTATTGAAGATTGTAACAGCAAAAGCTCTGAAATTATAATCCAGAATTAACAATCTTTAACTCGTAATACTTTTGAACTTCAATGATTTTTAATAGGGAATCTATAAAACATCCTTCTCTAGCTAATATATCAGCTGAATCATTATATTCATTTTGATAGCTTGCCATATTAAGACATTATTGATTTTTTTGAAATTGATACACAACACCTCCCCTTCATGATCTCAAATATATCATCAGCATAATCGTTTCCTAGTTCTTCTATTTCGCAATTTATTTAAGTATTAGGAATAATTGTGAGAAAATAATTGTGAGACTGGCATGATGGCTGACTTAATTATTACACTTATAAACTTGATTATAATTTCTCAAACATAGACAATCAATGCCTGACACGTCTGTACAAAATGCCGTTATCTATTCATTTTGTGCCAGACCTTCATATATTTTGTCTGATATATAAGATAAAGGTTTATGTTATTTGGCCCATTCTGATGATATGTTATTAAAAATATGTTTTCTTTTTTTTTTAATTTAGCAAATTGATTGTTGGATACTTTGCAAAGAATGTCATCAAGTTCAGTTAATAGTATCTTGTCATTTGTCTCTGTGGTAATAGTTAGCCTAGTATCTATTTTGATTGAAGATAGTAAATTATTAATCATCCATTATTTATATAAAATTATTTCTAAGCTTTTTAATTATTTCTTGTCAGAATTATGGTTTTATGGGTTTCAAATCATCTTAGCCAAATGATAATGGATTACACTCAATGAATTTAGCAATCATAGGTGTTTTGTCAATAACTGTGTCATGCAGAAGGAAAGAACATGGTAAAGGGAAATAAATTGTGAGATAGCTAGACAAGTTGTATTTATATGTAAAATACTTTGACTACTATTATTACAGAGGGCTGTGCCATAATAAAAAAAGTCTTGGCAAAGTCACATTAAAAGCCACACAAGCATCAGAGATGGCTAATCTTTTCACATTTTCTCACATACTTGTTTAAAATTAATTTGTTAAAACTTTTTTTTTGAATTTTATAAAAACTTGTGTAATAAACACACAGCCCATACTAACAATAAGCCCTTCTTTTCTTATTTCAAACCAGGAGATCAGCTGACCAGGACTGATTTATAGAAGTGGTTTTTTTTGTTGCATCCTCCAATTCTTGTGAATTTACTTGAGCTGTCATTCCCTCAGCTTGCTTAATAATTTTACTTTTGGCCAATTCATAAAATGGTTAATTATACACTTTATGAAATAATAAATAATAAAATATTGTTATACCTGCTTTTTTAGACAGGAAAAATGATGAAACTATCCTTAATTTCATCTATTTTATACAATCCTTATTGACTTCTTTCCTGACAGGAGTTTCAAAATAAGAGTTGTTTAATTATTTATCTAATGGAACTATGATTGTCAAAAATTCCACATTGCAAGTAATTTAGTAATTTGTAATGTATGTTACTAAAAGTTGTAATTTATTAATAATCTATTTAAAAAAATAAAAAAATAAAATACAACGCCAATTTTCTAAAAAACAAATTTGATTATTTAATTCAGCTTTTCTGAGATTTATATTTTCTATTCAGCTTGGTTCTTTGCCAATTTGATTTTTTGATAATTCTTCAGCTGTTTGGTTTCTTTCTGTTTCATTAAGTAATGTATATTCTTCAGCGCATTTCTTTTGAGCTCTTGGAGTAGTAGCTTTAATTTCTAAGTTAAAAATTATAATACATGTAATTAAGAATTAATAAATAAATTTTATTTATTTCTACTGTATATAATATTTACTATTTTTTCTAAACAATTCAGATTTAAATGTATACCATGATATTACGAGATTATTTTGGTACAGGCTCTCGATTATCTTTAAAAATACTCTATAAATTAATAACTTAATATATAATTAATAAAAATATAATTCAAAAATTTTATTATAGAAAACTTTACAAATGCTATTTCAGGTTGGCATTCATTAGCTAATAATAGACGAATTTCTGCATCATGTTTTTGATATATATATATATATATACTGTAAGCAATAATATTTCATATTTTTCCTGTGTAAACCTAGTTAAAATAATTATCAATATATGGTTAACTGTTTAGTAATTATATAATTTTTTTTAAAAAAGTAGTATTACTTATTACTTTCTTATTCTTCAGGCTGGTTGTTTTCATATTCTTTGAAAGTTTGACTATTAAAAAATTACATTAATATTTATTATCACAATGCATTACAATAATAAGTTATATTATTAATAAAATTTTACCTTGAAATGTCCATTATAAAAATGAAATTGATGAAAAAGTAAACCGATCAAATCTTGTGGGCTAAAGATGGCCCATGAGTAGTTTATAAGCTAAGATTTTCATGTCCACTTAGTAAGAAGTAAACTTTATCAATTATTCGGCTAGTAAATGATAAGTTTCAATTCTGGTCAAATTCTGGAATAATTCTAGATTAATTAAATTTATATAAATGTAGTATTTATTATATGATTATTTGTTATATTAATTATCGGAAATGCGAAAAGGCGTCTATAAATTAAGTATTTATACAATAATATTTCAAATGGAGTATTATAACTAAATTTTAGTCAAAAATTCAGTTAGTATTATAGAAATATAAATATAAAGATGAATTATCAGTTCATTTTTTAAATGTCTATTTTTGCCAAAATTTCAGCAGAATTATGCCAGAAAGTAAGACTTTTAATTTGGTATAAGTTAAAAAAAGGACATTTAATATATAGTTTTTCTCCGCCAAAAATTTGGCCAGAAAATTAAACAGAATAATTATCTTCGAATTTGGCCTAAAAAAGTCCGTCCGTTTTTTTCACCTATTTTCTCTAAGTTTTCGCTTTTTATATTTGCCCGATACAATAGTACACATCTGATCTAAAGTATAACTTTCTGAATCCATAATTATATCAACAGTATTCTAAAATTGTTGCTGGATTACAGAAATAATATTTGAGAATTAAATATTGTTCATATGGACTATCCTGTAACAAAAATTTGGCCAGAATTATTCCAAGATTTGGCTACTATGAAATTGGCCAGAATTAGAAGTATTATTAATCAGATCTCGTGGGCTAATCTGATCCATGGGTTTATAAGCTAGGAAGTAGTGCACGCCCGTGTACTTAGAAACTATGTATATCAATCATTTGGCTGGGCCGCTGCTGGGGTGCCGTAAAATCATATTATAATACTTTAATAATAAATTAATTTTAAGCCCTTTTGAATAAGAAAAAAAAGTTCTGAGTACAAATTTAAAATCGTGATATTTGTTTTATGCACTTTTTTAATGAGATGATGTACTGTACCCTTTTTTTTATTATTCATTCATGTAATTCAAATTTTTTTTTTGGTTTCTTTTACTAACAAATTATTAATTGAAATTTTATAACATTCAGTTATAACAAAAATGGATATTGTTTCAATGAATAAAATGAATTACTTGTATATATAAATGTGTATCTGGAAAAATTTTTTTGATATAAGAAAGAGAATATGTTCATGAATAGAATATCGTACGATGTAATGAGCGATGCTTATTATGAAAATGGAATTTTTAATAAAAAAATATGTTGATTTTTGGGATTAGGGAGCGTTATATTATGAGAATTTGATTCATTGCAAATCATTATTCTGATGATCGATAAGTAAAAAAAAGACATTCAAGGAATTAATAAAAATTTATTTAATAAAAAATATTATATTTTTAGAAATATATTAAAATATTTAGGACATGTTAAGAGATACTACGGTGTTAATTCCGGGAAATTCTGATCTTTCAGCTTCAATTATTTACAGTATAAATTTGATTATTCCTCATATGAAATTTATCATTCACATACATGGTTAAATTTAAATAAAATTGTTATGATAATAATACAGGTTATCATCATTCTGACAATAAGCCATCATCATCACCTAATCTTAATGGAATATAATCAAAGAAACAATACAAGTGAAAGGCAACAATTTCCTTATATTAAAAATTTTGAATTAAATGTTATAGTTAAATTATCATCATTATCATCATTATTATATAATTTTGATAATTTAAGATACAAAAATTGTATGATAAAATCTGAAGGATGTGATGGATTATTTAATGATAAATATAATTTAATGTTTTACCAATTGAAAAAAATGAGAAATATTTATACAAATAGAATTTCATATAAGGAATATCTTTTGAAAAGATGGGATCATGGAACTTTTACAAAATAATATATGCTTATTATTCTCTTGAAAATTCAACAAATATAGAAAAGTAAGTGAAAACAATATGTTATTATATTATAGTAACTTTTAGCTGTAACTTAGAATCAAACTAAAGACATGTATGTAATTTCCTTATTTCTATAAATAAATTTATATCATCAACCAGTAAAAAAAATATATATATAAAAATTTCCATCAAATTTTCATGTTATATGAGCAGATTGATTTTTTTTATCAACGCTAAGGTATCTAGATATATATTATCGATATTGTATTAAAAATAATAATACGATATTAACTAAACAATAATACTAACTAATATTTAGAACAAATCAATTACCATTGAAATGTCCCCAACAAACCAGTGCCGTGGAATGTAATAATTGTGGTGACAGACAGTGGTGTTCATCATTTATGTGGAATAGAATGTTGGAAATTTGAACCAAGTGAACGTCCAAATATACAAAATATTGTTTCTATTTTAAAAGGATTAAATTTTTCAACTAATGAAAAAATACAGCAAAATATGAACCTTAATTTAATAATTGTTAATGAATCCAAAAGTGAATTAACAGAATTATCAACAGATATATTTGATTTAGTATCTAATAAGATCAATAATATAATTATCGATGAGTTTATTGCACACTTAATTAATAAACATGATAAAGATTTTACTTTTGGAAATATCAAACAACTTATTAATCAACATTTATTACAATTAAGTCAAACCACGGATAAAATTATAAAGTGGTTATCAAAAAATCAAGATAAAGATACAATATATTATTTTAATATTGTTATAGAGAATGATTTTAATTTTAAAGATTTTAAATTATTTTTAAAGGCGGCAAATGAAAATTTTCCAATTGCGCAAGTCTATCTTGCTAAATGTTACTATAATGGATATGGAACTGAAATAAATTACAATTTACCATTTAATTGGTGTAGTTAGCGTTGGACTTCATGGTGGGACGATGCTGGTAGTATGACTCGTCGAAACATCGCGAGGTGAGACCTTACGGTTCTTCACGTGACTATCTTCACGTGACTCGAGACTGCGGCGGCGTTTATTGTTTTTACCGAAGCATTGATGATAATTCCCATTCTCTCGTAGCCTTGGCATGATCTCGCCAGATAGTATCATTGATCTCTTTCATCAGCGGAGTAATAATTTCTAAGAACGCATGATCTCGCGCGCGCTTGCGTCCTATATAATTATAAAGTAACGAGGATAATTCCGTCGGAATTAACTGGCGGATTAACAGGAAGAAAGGTGAGTTCATCAAATTGTCTTGAGATAAGTTGAATAACGGTGAAGTGTCTATTCGAGTTTTAAGATCGAATGTCATGCCAGTGATGCCACTAGCGTTTGTCCATTATCATAATAATTTCGTTCTGGTTTAAGCATAAACCAATATGCGAATTAGTTGCTGCATATTCATCGAACTCTCTACACTTGATTAGTAGGATTAAAATTCATCCATTGTTTAGTGAAAGTCCAGTCTATACGACCATCGAGGATATGTTGTTCAATGGGTTTAACGATTTGTTGTTGACTAGTGAATCAAAGATTTTTTGCTCGTATGGCGTTATTACTCCAACTTCTAAAATTTGGTCAACGGCGTATAAGTCACGCCATTTGATCAAGCCTAAAGAAGAGTCGGAAAAAAATTTGTAGTTAATAACAATAGGATCTTTGATATTAGCGCCAGCCTTGGTCAATTGGCCGGCGTATTCATTAAATTTATCATTGGTATATGCTTTCACTTTGATCATCTTCACATGAAGGTTTCGGATTTTAACGGCCCACGTTTTTTGTTTGGGTTGTCTACACGGACTAGTTGGTGTATGCAAGAGTGACTGTAAAGTGTTAATACAATTGTTTGAGTCAGTATAGATACTGCAACAACTGTTATAAGGAGTAACAATGAGAACCATAAGAATTTCCATAGCTTCACTTTTGGTGAAAGAAGGGAAAAAGAGTTGAATTCTTTTAGTTTCTAGCGCTTGAAAGGTGACATTGAATCCATCCATAGCCATTTGTACAGGTGTCGTGTCTAATTTGTTTAACTGATCCATCCGTGTTATAAGTCAGGTCATTGGCCGTTGTAAGATCAGAAGCCAAATTACATAATTATTCTTTAATGTGTGATTTACAATGAAGGGATTTCGTAATTTGTTGAATCGTGCGTAAAGTGTCGGTGACATAGTGACCATTGGTAGTGGTGGAGAAATCTTGTTAAATTGTAAAAATTGTTGGTAAGTCAAATGTTTCAGACTAACCAAGATTTACAAGCTACAAAATAATGATTTTTCTTAAAATGAGTCTTATATTTTTTGTATTCGAACGCATTATTAGATTTGTAGACTTTAAAAATACAGGTCCGTTTTGTCGGAATTGCTATAACACAATTGGGTCGAAAATCGGGTGGGTAGAATGAGTTAAGGACGCATACTGTACAGTGCACCAATATTAAGTTTTGTCTATGAGACGTGTCCCATGTGGGTTGAGGTATATTAACTTTCACATAATGTTCCAAGTAAGCAATAGAAGGTGAATCAATTGAGTCTTGGGATAAGGTTTTACCCATAATGATGTTTTTGATAGTATTATTCCAATGGGCAGGCCACTGCTAAAGATTTAGAAATCTTGTTTGGTATTATTTTCGGCGCTTTATTTGTGAAATCTTTACGATTTTCATCCTGGCTAATTGGGTGGATTAAACGACGGCGATTGCTGAGGATATAATTATCTTCGAGTCTTTTAAACCGGCGTGGTATTATTTAATATATTTAATTATAGTGTGAAAAAATTTTTAAGTTAAAAATTTAAATTACGTGATCATTTTAAGCTGTACTGTACTATACTGTATGAACTTTGAACTTTTTTAAATTCAATCGCACAGTACAGTCTAGCTGATCGTACAGTACATTACAAAGTTAAATAAACGTAATATAATAATGATACAGTTTAATTAAAATAACTTTATTTCATTTATGTTACAATCTTACAATCTTTCTTTAGAGTCCTAATAACTATATTATTTACTAAATTATTATACTTAATGGCCTGGACCATATACAAATAAGTTGACATGGAAATGTAATACAATATCATGTAATAAATAAAATACTTGCACCACGTTTGTAATTTCGAATATATTCTCTTAAGACTGAATAAATATAGGTGAAACACATTTGAGTGTTGGTTGTAAAATAATATTTTTTAATGTTGAACCTTTTTTTTCTAATAACAATTCCAATACTTTATTTTTTTTTGGGTTCTGCTTCTTTTTTGAAGAATATTTATTCATTAGACTTTATTTTGCAAATGGTGTAATTAGTGATTTTGCAACTTTAATGTATTGAAATTTTTTTAGAATTTTTAGAATTTTTGTAATATTCTCTTATATTTTCTTTCTTTTTTTCTGTATATAAAAGAAATTAGTTGTCTATGTACATTTTTCTTTATGAACACCAAATTGATGTGTTACTATTTAGATTTCAGTCAAATATTTTGACTTATTTTAATTAATCCATGAACTATATATATTACATTATAGATATATGATGGTATTTTTGTTCAACTGGTATGCACAAAATACAAATTTCTTCCTGTAATTATTCAGAAATGGCTTATTGCTAAAGCAGATTTATAACCATGGTTTCAGCAAATACAATAGGGTTGTCTCTTAAAATATAAAGTGCTTTGAGAAAATCTTGTGATCATTTTTTTTCGGCATCTTTGGAAGAAGGAGAGGAAGTTTGACAAATAAAAATCTGCAGAAAGACTGCTGGTTGTGAGGAAAGAGAATATTATTTTTAAGGAATTTCTAAGATTTTGATCTTTAAAAGGCCTTGATGTAATCCACAATCAATTAAGTCAGTTTTCGAAATATAAAAAACTTACACCTGAAATCTTAACTCTTATATTTTAATGCCATCATCATTGATAGACAAATTTTGTTTTTCTAGAAATTAAATCAAATCTTCAGTAGTCCAACTTTTTACAATCCATGCTAATAAAGCTTTTTTTTTAGGATTATTCATTCAAAATGTTTAGGATAAAAGGCCAATAAAACTTGAAATAAAGAAGGTAAAAACATAAGTATACAAGTGCTTTTAATTCCAACATTGATTTTCTATTCATAATGTGAATAACAATTTAAAATGTAAAAAGTTGTATTTTAAATATTGTAAAACATTTGAATCAAATTGTATGTTCTTTACTTGAGAGGTAAGGGTAAGTTCTTTTTTTGAATATTGCAAATAAACTTATTACTGCCTTATAGTTGTATTTTTAAGGATAGCATATAGTTGTTTATAAACTAATAAAATAATATTTGTTCACAAATATCACTTGATTTGATAAGAAATATTACATGCAATTTTGTTTATGCTCTTTAATTTATTTTTTGGGGAAATATTCATCTTGGTAGGCTGTGAAGGTAACTACAAATTTTCCAATTTGAATTTATTGCATAAATTTCTGATTTGGACTGACAGCCACAGTAAGGCTTATATAAGGCTTATTCCCATTGACATTTGATAATATTAAATCATGAATTCATCCATTAAGTTCAATTACTTAGATCATCAAAGCCTTCTGGCTTAGACTTGTTGCAATTTGTGATCCCGAACGAATATATAGTAAAATAGTACTGTTCGGTACTACAAATTTGGACAGGCGTTCGAAAAAATTTTTAAATTTTTCCGTACTCAGACGGACTATTAAAAATAAATTTTGATTTTCCGTACTAATAATCTTACATCGTAGCATCATGTGATACAACTTTCGAGAATGAAAATGTTACAATTATATATTTGTAATGTAATGATTCAACGTTTTGTTTATTTTATATTTGTCATAAATACCTCTTTTTAATCTTTACTGCTTCGAAGAAGAAAAATAAATGTAAATATGAATATTGATAATATATCCGATGTTGAAGACTTTCCAATTGAATTGGTAAATCCTGAATTTGAACAGGTTTATATAATTATTATGACTTTATGAGTCAATTTTATTATATAGAGCTGAATATTATTAAAGAATAGAGTATTTTATTAAAAAACATGTACGAAAATTCAAAGTCGTACGAAAATTTTTAAAGCATTCGTACGTACTAGTATAAAATAATTTATCCGTTAGAAACGTACGTACGTACGAACAAAAAGGATTAACGTCCGTCCGAATTTGTATTACCGTACAGTACTACTTTACTTAATACCTATCTGAAATATCAAATCAATTTGACGATGGATTAATTCCATTATTACATAGAGGCGCAATCTACCATAATAGAATCTCTAATTCATCAACTTTATCGATTGTTTGCATAGAGGTAGAATGTTTGAAACTTTTCGGCAATCGATTTTTTTATCTTTTTTTGTTTAACTTTCCATTAGTCGTAGAAGTAATTTATCTTTATTTCTCAATTTATTATTTTTCTTTTGTTTTATTGTATATTTATTATTGGAACAACTTTATATCATATAAAAGTTATCGCATTGTCTAAAGATCCACAAGGAAATTTGCAGATATCAAACTATTGTAATGGTATTCAGTTAGCTTGGACACATGTTATCATCCGATGGCTAATTATTGCCAACATATAAATGATCGATCCCCTTATAACGAACCTAATGAAACCTATCAAACTATCATATTATTTACCAATACCTGTATCAACCATTTTTACCCCCATAATCCGGGTAAACGGGTAACGGATCGCTACTTTATTTTTAAAAACAAAATTTTGATCATTAGTATATTATAATAAAAAACTTTGTATAATAGCACATAAATATATAGTACAATATGCTACCTTAAAATTTTATTTCATTGTCTCTTAAAAAAAAAAACGTTTTACATCATCATTTCTAAAGATGATGATCTGAAAGCGCAATATAATAAAAAATTGTGATCTGCGTGGCTTAGAAATTTGTGTCACGTCAGTTCACAATCTACTAGCATAGTGAAAAAAAAATTTAAATGAAAAACCAACTATCGAATAAAGAATTTGTGAAATTTTCAAGAAAAAATATTGTAAATCATTCCTAATGGTATTGAAAAAGGAAATTGCTAATAGATATCGTGATATTGGGAAGGATATATTTGAAAGTTTCAGGTAATTTTATTTTTTTAACGGGTTAAAAGAAAAACTTCAATCTCTTTTTCTTTGAAGCGTACTTAGTTTCATAACATAGAATAATAACGTATTCTTTTATATTTCTCAAGCACAGTTTTGATTCATTTCTAACCAACCATTACGATCTGAGAAGGGAAGAGCTAGCCAATTACATACTAATTTCTTCTGCCAGAACGGCTATGAAAAAATCATTACATTTCGTAAGAGTGATGCACAAAAACTCCTTAGAATAGATGTTAACAAGGCAAGTAAATTGTGGGAGCGGTTTGTTCAAACTAAATGGATTCAAAATTACGAGAAGAAATGTTACTTCTATCCCCCCTCCAAAAATAAAGAAATATTCTTGACTTCCCCATTCAGATGAACGAAAATATCAGTTTTATCGTTTCTCCACTTCCTTACACTACGGACTCATTAAAATTATCAATTATTTGATTCTATTTATTGCTATTTATCTTGGAAATTTTTACGATCAATAGACATCTGAATAGATCATATCAGAATATATTAACAGATCTGTATGAGACATTTTTGTTGAGATGACTTTCTTTCATCTTTCAATTTTTTTGTTTGAGCTATAATTTTAAGGTAAATGTTTCTTTTTCGGTTTAAAAAACGGATTTAGATGTATTTTTTCTAATTGTTTGATGGTTTCTTTTCAATCCAGAAGTTTATTCTGTGCTTCAATCTAAATAGTACATCTCTTCTTTAACAATTACGTAATTATCCTAATTATGTAATAATTTAAGGAGATAATCAAAATGGGATCGTTATTAAAAACAAAGAAATTTTCAACCTTTAATACTTCCCTTGCTTATGGAATTTTTCTGGGTCAATGAGAAAGTAGATCTTTGGATTCAAAATTATCAATAAATTGTGTCAAAACATCACAGTTCGATAGATTCAACAAATGCTCTCTACTGGAGAACGAATTACGGTACTCTTTGGAAAGCCATCTTCAAAAGAAACGCAGGCCTGGAGGCGCTATTGCTGTTAGCAAGAAGAATCGGACGATAAGTTACATTGCAAGAATTCAAATCAAGGATCTTTCAAAAGCAATGACGATTTTTTAGCGGAGATGATGTTGTTGTTATTGACCAAAAGAAGAAGGTCAATTTTTGTCTTTGTAGGTGACGAATTGTAATAATCATGGTTACCTAAAGACGCGCTGTTCCCTCATTTTCCTTTGGAAGCTTGAGGAACGATCCTGATGATGGGGGCTGTAGTTTTAGTTTAATTATTATATAGTTAGTTTCATTGACATAGCAGATAGTTATTTTTTTTCACTCTCTTGATTTATTATATATATTTAATATTTACGCATCTTAATACATTAAAAAAGAATTACTTCATAATTTTCAATGGTTTCATTTCATTTTGTATTTGTAATAATTTTGAGTACATTTTGCTATGTAAAAACATCAAACTATTTCAGTCTTACATACGATACTAAGATAATCTCAGTGATGCCTTTTAAGATTCGTTAAGACACGTTGAATTTCTTATATAATGTTTTAAATTAGATACTTACTTAAATTAGATACTTATTGTAGTTCATTGAAATAAATATATTGTTAAAGAAGTTGAGAATATCGCATGATGGTAGTGTGTAGTAAGAATTTCTTTATTGTCATCAATGTATTATGCTGTAATTAGGAGTAAATAAAGCGAGTTCAAAACCTGATAAGCGTATTAATAATGCATTTAAAGTTAAGGTTTTGATCGAATCAAGTATAATTACTCATTGATCGAGTTGTTCAATTATCGATTACAAAATTTTGGCATTCGATTTAAAATTAGATTAATAATTTGATCGATCAAGTCAGCCATGATTGAATGATGTATGTGATTTAAAATCATATAGATACCTTATTATGTGTCATTGTTTCGTCTATTTTATTGTCTTTTGCCCTGTAATAATGTCAAATTAGGAATCGATCTATTTTTAAAAGTTCATTAATTATTTCAGTAAGCGATCATACTAGTTGTGAAATAGCCAATCGGTACTTAAATGATTTCATGTGTAAATCAGTAATTTTTTTTTTAGAAATTTCTTTCATGAAATATAACGTCTTTCTCTCTTTTTTTTAAAAAAAATTTTTGAGTTGCATGATCACTATTTGCAAATATATATACTCTTTTTCACTTCGCTCCGGACTAAAAAAATAATCGTATCAAAAAAAAAAGAAAAATAATGTAAAATAAAAAAAAAATTATGTTTCTCATTTTACAAACACTCTTTTCGCTAATATTTTAACATTAAAAACGAATATATTTATGGTTTATGCCTCTTATTATTCAAAAGGTATGCTACTGGTATGATTCTTTTCTTATAAATAATTTATACGCACGAATATATTACTAATATTCCACTTTCAAATTCGTTCATTTAAAAGAACTAGTTAAACCGAAATTACTATTAATAGTCTATCGGAATTACCTAATTTTTAAAATAGAATCATCTAAAATATACAAGAAATCCCGTTCTACGTTGTTTGCGATAAACCTCATCCTCAAATATTAATTCTATATTTGAGGGCGAGGTTTACCGTCAGAATATGACGCAATTTGCTGTATATTTTAGATCTCTGATTTTATAAGGAAATTTCTGACTAAATTAAAAGAAAGTAAGTATTTAATCGTCTTTATGATAATGATATTTATTAATATTATTTATTAATATCTTGTTAAATTATAAATTAGACAATAAAAGAAGTATATGACGTTTAATAATATTTATAGTATCACAATTCTTACCTCAAGGTATTTTTTTTTTATTAAACTACTTTTTGTATTTTAAATTATAAAATTTATTAATCTTATGTAATTATAGTACCGTCAAAGTACGAAGAACGTAGAGGGATTAACTATTTCGATTATATGGAAGTAGAGAAATTTTTATTAAATATAATATACGCGACAATTCAGATCACGCGTCATATATTTCATTTAACAAATAGTTTATTTTAATATCATGCTAGTATTATAGTTATAGGCGGTCCAATTTTATGGAAGAACCCTTGGGGATATAATAGTAAATTAATCAATTCTTTTTACAAGAAGAAATTTATAACACTTTGTTAAAAAAATGGAAGAGGTATTGGTAACTAGAAAAGATAGGTGGCAGCTAGGGAGAGGGATCAATAGATTTATTTTTTTTCAAATTACCAGGTATTATTTAAAAAACTTGATAGTATTAATAAGCATTAATTTCAATTAAGATAAAGGTATGTGATTTTGGCAATGCAAACCGTACAAATAAATTTCCTTGATTCCCGCTAATCTGATAAGTTACTTGATAATGTCATTTAAAGTTTTATTAATATTTAACTTTATTAATTTTATGTAAGATATTTTAAAAGAATCTGACCGGGACATCAAAAGCAATTTACGCAATTAATTCATCTAATTTGAGATCAGGTATTATTTCGAAATTATAACTTTTACGATATCATTTTCAATATCAAACTGCTTTCTCATTCCTTATTACATCATAGATGAAATACTTTCATATGAGTTTCCTGAAAAGAGGAAAAGAAGTAGTAATGGGTCTTCACGTACCGCGTGGAGATTTAGAATAATTAAAAAAGATTTTCTAAGCGGTGCGATGAATAATTTTCTGTCATCGCCGTAATAGGATGGAACAATTTATATAATAATGAAAAATATATAAATTAACTGAAGACTAAAATGAAAAAAGATTAAAAAGAGCGATAATCTAATTATGTATTAAGTTATTTATTATTTATTAATAAATTGATTTTTATTGTTAATTTTTTAATGGCGTGTATTTCAAAAGAGAAGTTAAGAGGTACTAAAATTCCCTTGATTGTTTAAAGAAAAGAAATAGGGATATATTTTTGGGATCGCTCGTGATGGTTAGTATATCAGATATACTTAATCTTTTTATATGAAAAAATGGAGACAATTGGACAAAAAATTTTAAATTAGAAACAATTCATATTATTGATATTAATGAACCAATAATTATATTTGCATCACGTTTAGGAAAAATTGACAGAACAAATTTAAAGAGCAACAAAAGCAACAGGACAGTAGAAATCGAAAACGAATGAAATAGTAGTATTAAAGGCAAATGAATTCGTCGAAACTAGTTACGTTCATTCTTTACCGTATACACCTACAGGGAAGAATTATCAAAGGTGGTTGCCTAAATATGGGAGCAGATACTAAGTTTTATTAGAGTGCATATTTAATTTCAGGATATTTGATATTTTTTTTTTTTTATTTAACACGCCACGCCATACACGCCATGCCATATCATTTTTTTCATTTATAATTATTGTATATTTTATTATATTAAAATAAACATATAGAAATAATAAATAAAAAAAAATTAAAATTAAATTATAACCTTAAGTTAATCCTCTAAATAAATAATTATTTGCTATATTTGTAACATTTTACATAAAACCTCTAAATGAGAGATTACATTTAAGCTAAGTCAAAAAGAACAAATTCTACAGCTTCTTTACCGACAGATTCAAAAATAAATTCTTCACCATTAACGACTTCAGTAATGAAAGCGCCATCACCTGGCTTTAATATAATGCCATCATTAATTTTCAATTGACCACCTGTACTAGTTAAATGAAACATATAACCTTCTAGTTTTATCTTCACCACTTAAAGATGTATGTGCGACTTTATTTTCAGGTTGCAATATACTGGCAAACATATGAAAATCTGTATGAATTCCAATCGTCTTCGAAGATGTGTTGTGAATTAACATCACCGCGTTTAAGAATTTCTACATTTCCCATTGCTATTAAGGATAAAAAAATTTTTAATAAATACTGTGTACATTCTTTATTTTATTAAAAAAAAAATATGCATGTAATCACACGTAATACTCACAATCTTTATGTTGCAATTCACCGGATATAATATATGAGAAAATTTCAAATTCACGGCGTGGATGTGTTCCAAAACCATTATCATATCTTCATTGATTACACGTAATGCGCCAAAACCTTTATAATTTGGATCATAATAATCAGCGAATGAAAATGTATGATGAGTTTTCTAACCACTCATGATTTGAATACTACGTTCTTTAGAAGGACTAAGACAATTCTTAAGTTTTATTTTAATGAACTATTAAAGAATTCTTTTCTTTGATAAATATAATATTGATAAAATAAAATTTTCTTCTTGAATGTTGAAATAATTGTTCTGTTGGAGAAGAGAATGAATTTATTAAGTTTTTTGCCCATGGTATTTATACTTTTTTGACAGTGATACATTGTAAACAAAAAAACCGGAATTAATAATCAGCCTTAGGATTTTTTCAGACCTTTCAAAAAATAAAATGATTCTTAGATATTACTCATAAAAATGCAAAGGCGATATTTAATTTATAAAGGATTTCAGATTAATAAGATAAGGAATTACTAAGTATTCTTTTCAAAGAATTTATAATATCACGTGGTCAGATTTTCGATGACAACCAATTTTTTTTTTTTCCTTTTATTAGTATTGCTGAAATCGCTAATAACATAGACGTAAAAATACATACAGTATCAATAAAGTATCTATCTATTATAAAATCATACAAATTTGAAACTATGCTAAATAAAACCTAATATTTTGTAACTATTTTATATAACAAAACAAATTACTCCATTGTTATAATTATTCGACATCGCTATCACTATCTTTTCAGGCACCATGTGCATTGATAATACGTAAAATTTTCGTATCATCTGGCTCCCTTACTTTACTTTTGTCTGTCAATTCGTCTTGATTCCTATTAACCTCTTTAATTCTATTACTAAATACTTTATTCAAATTATTAAAGTCTTCAAACTTGTTATTATCTGAACCCCTCTGATCCTCTAGACTATCCGTTGCCTCGTAAAATTGTTCGTCCTCTGAGGGGATATTAACGGCGGCATTATTGCGTTCATCATATCATTCTCGTTATTGAAATAAAATAATATATATCTCACTTTGTTTATCCTAAGTATCTTCCCAAAGTAACCTCCATATTTTTAATATATTCTTTAATTATCGTTCCGTCATGAACTGTACGTTATTGTCTACTGTTGTTAGCTTTTTAACAGTAACACACGTATTTTTTGGCCATGACATAAAATGATCATAATTTGTAGCTATTATTTTATGCTGATTATTAAACGAATAAATTAATAAATGAAATGAAAATTTAGTTAATAAAAGAATATTTAAGGGGTGTCATAAACAATTGATATGTAACAATTCCATCGTGAAATTCAACCAAGTATTTGGACAATAATTCAGAATAAATATTAACATGATCCTTAATTCCTTATAAAAAAGGAAATTGTCTTATAAATATGGATAATAAGATATTTCTGACTTTTGAGGATATTTTGAATATTTTGACCTAAAAAATTTTTGATTTTTTCTAATACAAAAAAAAATGTATAGATAATCCTTTCATAAAAAAAGTATTTCGCGATATGATGATGTAACAAGTAAAGTGAATGTATTTTGTTGAGTTGTTGGATATGTTGTATTGGCAAGTACATATTACATTGGTATTTCATAGATACATTCCATGTTTCCAGATATATTTGTGTGAAAAAAGCAGAGACTATGTATCATACTCTCTGTTTTTACAAAAAAAGAAACTGTTTTAAACAGATATCATGAGAATTTCATGCTGTGACTAAACTTGTTACTAGATAATACTATGAGATTAAGTTTTGGCAACTGTATACAAAGGTTACTGTGATGATATAATTTACTCATTCAACAAGATGGAAAAAGCAGTATTATGGCAGGAGACAGTAGAGTTGGTTTAATTGGTGAATATAGAAATAAAATTTGTAGTGCAGTTTAAGAACTTCGCCAAAACCAAAGTTACTTTTCCACATTAGGGAAATTATTGTATATATTTGTAATTTAAATCTTATATGATCTAGGAGATGTTATCAAACTATTCCACTAAGACTGATCTCTAAATATTCCAATCACTTGATGTAGAAAAAAATTCAAATTGATATATTATTATCTGATATAATAAAATTGAAAGTGTGGAGTTTGATACAAGAGATCAGGTTTGATCTGATGATCTTCCTGTTGCTGGTCGAGAATGTGATTCTGCTGGATGGCCGTACCCAACAGTTGTCTGGAATTGGCTTATCCGAAGAGAAAAGATGACACTTTATCTTTATTTGGAATTGATGAAGGGTAAAAGTGTGCTTAAATAATGTAAAATTTAAAAATGTAACTGTTAAACGTATAAACGTAGAAAATTAGATGAATAATTATTTATTTTGATTATAATGTAATTAATATTTTCATTATCAAAAATATCAGTTCACTGGTATAAATTTTTTTTTTATAATTAATTAATTAATAAACTTGAAGTAATTTAATTGTTTCGGATTGGTCGTGTACAATCCTCTGGTTTTTGCGTTGATCATTTCTTGATGGTCGTCCAATAGCCTTCTTTACGTCAATAGTGTGAAGTTTTTGAATCCTTTCATGTTTTTAACTCTAGTCAGCATGGTGAGATTATTAAAGGATAGGATATCAAACATCAAGAAAAAAAATATGCAGATATATTCCGCAGTCATTTATTTCTAATTGTGTTAATTTGTAAATCATCTTTTGCGTGAAATTCACATTATTATAAAAAAGCTTCCTTGGGAAACATCTTTTACAAACGGAATGCATCATATCAGATGTGGTTATGAATGGACAAATGTATGTTATTCAATACATTTAAAGCAAGTACCTATTGTTAACAAATCATACATTTTGGATAAAAATTTTTTTTACTAAATAATTACTTTATGGGGAGGGTTGACTAAAAAAGAAACTTGTTAACGTTTATGTTAATGTTAACGTCATTCTGTTTATACAGTCAGCAAATCAGCTCTGTCGTTATCCCTGCAAAAAGTTGAACATATAGTGTTTCTAGCATTTTAAAAATTATGAGATATTATTAATCTATGACAGATTTGGTGGTAAAAGAAACTTTTTTTGATTAATTAATTAATAATTATTAATCATTTTTTTTTATTTATATTTTTTTTTTTTTTCGTCAGATCGAGTTCAGCTACTTCGGCGAGATGCTGCGGTAAAATGGCAAGCGCTGGCATGTTTCATTTTGGTATTTTTTTTTTATATTTCTATATTTAATTTATCTAATTTATACTTTGGTGAAACTGTAAGCATTAATTATACTGTATTCTAGAATTTTTTTTTTAATTTCTCTATTTAATTTTACCGATATTTTTTTTAATTTTTCTTTTCGTCTTTTAGGGATCGAAAACTCATGGATCAGATGTCTGTGATACTATGGTGATGCACATGAATGATGAACCAGATGCACTTACTGCTGCGGTGGCATGATAAGCGTTTACTATTACCATTAAAATATTTTTTTTTAATTAAATAATAAAAATTGATAACCACAAAAATAATGTACTTTGATTTGCGATTTTAAAAAGTTTTTTATAATCGCTGTTTTTAATAATAAAGTTTCTTAAAATATTTAAATTTTATAATAAACCGGAAAATGTGGTAAAGGTAATCAATTAAATGAGAAAAGAAATGAAAATTCGAAGAGGAATGAAGAAGTGAATCAGTAGAAGAACAAAGAAGCTATTGCGAAAAAAAAACATTCAGGAGTATATAGAGGTTCGAAGGAAAAGAATTAAAAATCAAGAAATATCGGTAGTAGGTATGCATTTGTATAAACAATACGCGTAAATATGATATGGTCATATGGTGGTATAAATTGTGGTACAAGATCATGCATGTATAGTTTTTTTAGTTTAGTTAAAGTTTAGTTATGCATTTGTATAAACAATACGCGTAAATATAATGTTACGACTGTTACGTGATATGGTGGTACAAGATCATTTATATAAAGGGTAATACATCGGAATGTTTGTGCAAAACAAATAAATATTTTTCTTCCCCGTAACCCTACCCTACAAATCATCTTAGAAAAAATGAAAGGATCTTCTCTATCCCAAGATTTAAAATCGTTACTAAATAATAAAAGATATAGTGATATAGAAATTCTTTGTGAAGATAATATAAAATTATATGCAAATAGGGCAATTTTAGCAGCAAGATCAAATGTACTTGATGCCCTATTTTATAACGGGTTAAAAGAAAGTTACGAAAACCAAATTCGTTTTCCAACAATCAATTCTTCCGTAATGAAAATTATATTGGAATACGCTTATACAGGCTCAGTTAGAGAAGAATCTCTAAACGATGATATTATAATTGAAGCCTATAGTGCCGCTGACTATTTCCAATTACCAGACCTCCAAGGGTTTATTGCCAGAATTTTTAAAGATTCTTTACTAAAAAGCTGCAGAGTACACAATTTACCGGTTTTATTGTCAAAAGTCGTGGAAAAAAAGAAACCGTCATTAATAGATAATCATATTCTTATAGATCTAATAGTCGAAGAACTATCAACGTTTCCTTTAAATGTAATCGAATTTGGTCGATTATCTCTTGAAGCGCTTCGTTATCTCTTGTCTTACAAACACGAGAAAAAAATGCCCTTTGTAACTCCGGAATACGAGATTCTCCGATATTGTGCCATTTTAGCAGGAAAAAATGTATCCAATGATGCATATGAAACTCTTTCCAAACGGTTACCAATCTTAGAACCAATGAATTATATCCAAGTAGAAATTCTCCGATATAGTGCTATTTTAGGTGGTAAAAAAGTATGCAATGAAGCATATGAAACTCTTTTTAAACGGCAACCAATTCCATCAATTTCAAGACAAATAGAGTATATCAAAGTAGAAAATAATTTTACTGATTGTCAAAAAGTTGTCGAAATATTAGAACCTTTGGTTAAATATATTGATTTAAAGAGAATTAATACTCAAATATTAGCAAAAATTATTGAACCATTGGGAATTATTCCATCAGAAGTAATCAAGGATGCGATGACAAATACTTATATGTAAAAATATTTATGTCGGAAGCTAGGCAGCAGAAATGCGGTGTTAAGTGCGAAAAAAAAGATAGTACGTACTCATAGGTTCAAGATTATGATAGTTGTAAAGAATGAGTATGCAACCTTGAAGATAGATGTAGAGGGATCACTTGGCCACGAATCATAGTCACTTAGAAATAGTTTTAATATTTTTTTTTTTTTTTTTTTTTTTTCCTTTTTACAACAAATTATTTACCAGTATATAGATGATATTTTTAATAAAAAAATATTAACTTTGTGATCGGTACACTTCTTATAATTAAATAATATAGCGTTTTTAAAGGCCAGAATCCAGCGTCGTTAATAAAGAAAAATTTTTTAACTAAGGAGAGATATAAAGTTAAAAAATTGGTTCTCATATCAAAATTTGCTTTAATTTAACCCGGCCGCGCCGCACGGCTATTTATTTTTTTTTTTAGAACATAATTTTTTTTTTTCATCCGATCATGTAATACGGAAGATTTCATATGTAACATTATATTAATATAGTTAATTCAATAAAAAGTCATAGACAGATTTTATATATCAAGTTAATTACAACAAGTTTAATTGTGGTTTTTTAAAAAAATTTTTTTTTTTTTATTGTTCGTTAAATGTTAGGCATTTACATAGCAGATAGTGTTACGATATATGCGTACAAATTTAAATTTATCATGTGATATAGTTTAGAGCAATTTGATTGGTTAACGAAAAAAAAATAATTTAAGATTCCCGCTCTCGGCCGGGAATAGTTGAATGACAAATAAATTATTTATCTTGTACGGAAAAAAAATATTCCGAGTTCTCATTTTATTCTCACGATGCATTGAAACGGTCATAACAGTTTTTTTCATTCACCAATAATCATAATATAATTTATTGATTATTTTTAATTAAAATGACGGTCATGTTTCATTCTTGATACAATAAAAATTGTATAATGCAAATAATATCATTGTCTTATTAGTATGTCATGCATTAAGGATTTCTTGATTCTAAAAATCGTTTTCAATACAAATCAAACTTCCATCTCATTATTGTTTAGTCATCGCATCGGATTGGGACTAACAGATTTGTTCCATTTTTACATATGTTATTAATTATCTAACAAGCTTTGATTTGAGAATATTGTTTATTGAACTGCACTTCATTTAATGTATTTAATGTGGCGTTCAAACAATAATTAAAAACATTATTCCGATATATGTGCTCTTATGCGTTATTCAGATTTAATTTGAGAATTTTGTATGTTAAATACTAGAGATGCAGTTGGAACTCGATCACATTGGGATGAGCCGTATCACAACTGAGTTATATACTTTAAGATACTGTTAGGTCAGTTCTTTAACGCTTAAAAATATTAAGCAATTATTTAATTATGTAAGCAGAAGGTTTATGTATATTAAATAGTATACAATTAAACGGTATATCGAAAAATACCAATCAGACGTGTAGTATAGCACTTTTTTTACGTCGGCATATTCGTTCAATCACGAATAAAGAATTTCACACAAATAAAAATGTACACTTAAGCAATAACCTTTTATAACTGTTATCTGTTGTTATCTGAAAGAAACATTACTGCAAAAATTGATCTGTATTTATAATAAAATTATACATATACTAATAAATTTAACATATTTAACAAGTCTAATATCTAATATATCTAATATGTTTAATATGGTTGATATGTCAATCATGTTTATCATGTTCGATATGTAAATCATGTTAAACATACATCGATCAATTCCGAACCGGCACATGATGATCACATGACAATACGGCGCCGTAACTAGTAAATGCGCCGTAACTGGTAACTTGTATAATAGGCACTATAATTTGTGTATATCGGATATGTAATAATTTAAATTTTCTTAAAAACATATATTATAAAACATAAAATAAAGTATGTAAATATCATATTTTTATATCGTTCTAATTATTCATTCATTACTATTAAAATTATTGTTCCATGAAATTTATAATCAAAGAAGTTATTTAAAATATGGGAACTTTAAATTTTGATAACAAATTCGGAGAGATTTAAAAAATTTATACTGTTAAGTCATGTATACTATTAAAATAATTTATGCTATCTATTTAGACTATTTATATTCTACGCTATCATTGGCCACAGTAAAAGTTATGGCATTAATAACTTAACGCCTTAACGGCACATTGGGTTTCACACGGTTTTGCCGTAACTGTGGTCACAATCCGCTATATACTATTTATTATCTAATACCTTATGCTTACTAACACCAAACATATATTAAAATCTTATAACATATTAATTAAAATCTTATTTTTTGAACGACCGTAATAAACGAATTTCCTGGCTTTTCGTATATTATTACTATATTACTATCTATATTATAGATATACTGTAGGTAATAAAAAAATTTATTAAATTTTTTTGTCGGCATTATCATGAACTGAAAGGGTCAATTTATTATTTTGTTTATGAGTGTACTTTACGTATGGTACAAATCCATTTTTAGATAATTTATTATATTTGATTAAAAATAAAATTTAACAATCAGGGAAAGATCAAAGATTTTTACCGATAACCTAACTATAAATATTTATTTTTATTTATTTTGTTTATTAAAATTAATTTTTTAGTATATCACCATATACTACTGTATATTGATTCTTTACGGAGTTGATTTCCGAAAAAAATTCTTTTGGATCACACGCTCAATTCTCTGAGGTGATTTTTAACCTTACGTTATCAAATTTGCATGATGCTATCACAGATAAATATTAATCATTCAACTCATTGTATGCAGATCTGTGAGACAATATAGCGTAATATAACGTAATACAGCTCCTAAAATTAAACAAATTTTTTTTTTTTATTTTTACCCAAATTTGTTCATATTGACTAAGATACTAGAGATAATATATTGGTTCGATGATCTTTTCATAATTTGCGTAATTCTTTTTAGATGTCTAGAACAAACTTACGGAATTCTCTTACTTGATCTTATTAAAACTCAAAAAAAAAAGAGTAATTCATCCTGATTGATTATCTGTGTTATCGGTGACACTGAAAGCCGAAAACTCCGAATTATATACCTAAATGGACTAAATGGAGAATGGTTGACTTAACAACAATATCTCTTTTCTGTTTTTCCTTGTGTTGATTGTCCCATAAATCGTAATATATTTAAAACAAAGTATAGAAATGATTAACCATTTTGTTTTTCTTTAAATCGCATGTTAAATTCTTTTTACGTACGATAGACTTTTCTCGTCACGAAATCGAAAAGATAAAAGTAATATTTTTATCCCAAAATTAAAACTTCGACATATATAAATTTATTTAATTACTGTAAGCTACTTCTATGAATTAATACGATTATTCACCTTTATTTTTAAAATAATTAACCCATTTTCTATTTCTATCAATAATTTTTGGTTTCCGTATTTTAAAGAAGAAAAACAATGGCAAAAGAATATATTAGTATGTATATAATTATATCTAAATAAATATGCATACATAGACTTTCCAAAAGGTTCTAATAATTATTTATTATAGTCGGTATTGATCTAGGGAATACTTTTTCCAGCGTTAGCGTTTGGCGTGAAGATAACGTTATTATCATCCCCAACGATTACAGTAATCGTATAACACCATCATACGTTGCTTTCACTGAGTCAGAAATACTTGTTGGAGATGCGGCAAAGATTCAATCTATTTCAAATTGTAGAAATACTGTTTTTGACATTCACCGTCTTATTGGTCGTGATTTCGATCATTATGATATACAATATGGCATGAAGGTATGATTTTCAAAAAAAAAAAAAAAAAATTCGAATCTATTGAAGAATAGATAGATAATTGAAATTATTTTATTTAATTTTATTTTTTATTACACAAATTATTTATTATATTAGTATTGGCCATTCAATATCGTAAAAAAAAATAATGAAATACGTATTTGTGTAAATTATAAATGGGTAGACAGAGAGTACACACCCGAGGAAATTTTATCTTTCCTATTAAATAAAATGAAAAAAACCGCGGAAACCTTTCTAGGAGTACATGTTAAAAAGGTAGTGGTTGCGTTGCCAATAGATTTCAATATTTCTCAATATGAAGCTGTAAAGAAAGCTGCTTTGTTAGCTAGGTTGAACATAATTCGTATCGTTAATTCTCCAACAGCCGCCGCTATTACATATGGGTTGAGAATGAAAGTTACCGAGAAACAAAATATTCTTGTTTTTGATTTTGGTGGTGGTACTTGTAGCGCTTCTCTCATAACTTTAGATAAAGGAATTTTTAAAGTAAAAGCCGTTGTTGGTAACAACAATATTGGTGGAAGAGACTTAGATGATCGTCTAGTAAATCATTTCGCGCAAAAATACAAAAAGAAAAATAGACAAAGCCAATCCATGGGTGATCTTTGTCGTTTAAGAACAAATTGTGAACGTGCAAAGATAATTCTTTCGAATTTTGATCACGTTCATATCGATTCATTTCTCTATGACATCGAAAAAAATAATTTTAATAAAACCACGTGTTCTTTATGTAATAGTACCGACGATCTAAGCCAATACTCTTTAGACCGTGACGAATTCGAAAAATTGAATGATGATTTATTTTATTCTGTAATGAAACTTATTAAAAAAGTAATTGATGATGCAAAGATAATCAAAAGTCAAGTTCATGAAATTGTTTTGGTTGGTGGCTCAACACGTATTCCGATAATTCAAGATATGATAAAAAAATTATTTAATGGAAAAGATTTAATTGTATCTATTAATCCTGATGAGGCAGCTGCTCATGGTGCTGCCGTACAAGCTACTATTTTATCTGGAAACACTTCTGAAAGAATAAAAGATATTCTCATTCACGATGTTAATGCTTCACCTTTTAATATAATGACTTCTGATGATGTAATAACTCCGTTTATTGAACGTAATACAGTAATACCCATCAAAAAGTCCAAAACTTTCAAAATTCGAATCAATGGTTCTCGTCAAACGAATATCTCTAACTATTTAGATCGTACTCCCGACAAAAGAGCTGTACCAATCAAAATATACGAAGGCGAAAGTTATCATTGTTTAATCGGAGAATTTGAATTGCCAATTTCTCGAAATACTACAGATATTGAAGTCACCTTCGATCTCAGTTTCAACTTTAAATTAAAAGTATGCATGTTGGCAGCACATTTTTATTACCAAATTTTGAAATTAATTGACTTTTTATTAAATTATAGGTTTCTGCTGTTGATAATCAACGTAGAATAAATAAAAAACATATTATAATAAATTATTGAATCCATGGGTTTGTAACAAATCTTAAATATTTACGTTTAAAATATTTGTTATTATCATTTTATTTAACATATTGTTTTTAATAATGACAGCTACTGAAGCTGAGTACGATCGTGCAGAAAATGAAATAAGCACGAAGTAACTTTGAAAGTTACGTATACAATTTAAAAAACACATTTAATAAAGTAAGTTTCTCTGGTTATTGGTTATTAAAATCTTTGGTATTTTAAATTTTTATTCTATATGAAATAATAAATTTGGATTTAAGATCATTATATCGTAAAGAGTGCTATAAATTGGTTTTTTTTTGTAATGAAAAAGCAGAGGTGCAAGAATATATATGAGTATAGGCAAAAAATTCTCGAAGAGTTTGTGCAAAATTACAAGTTTATGAATAGGTGATAACCAATAGAATATAGTATCGCCATGCCATACATAAATTTAGAAGCCAGAATTTATTTGAATTAACCAAGTTAATTCAAAACAGGTCTAATTCAATACGAATTTTTATTTTTTTTTACTGTAAAAGATATAGAATTACAGCTGTTGTTTCAAGGTGTGATGAAGAAATACAATTTAATAAATATTTACAAATAAAGTTAAAACACTTTCAATATGAATAAGATTCTGTCCATTTGGTATTCTAAATGTCATTTCGAGCGTGTAATAATATTTCAAATTTTCTTCCATATTAAACTTTGAAAGCTTTTAAGTTACAATCGTCCTTCGATTATTAAAAAAGGTCCTATTACGTACAATTATTTTGCGCGACATTAGTAATACTAGAATACTGTGGATTTTGCAAATCGGAAATTCATTGGGCAAACGAGATTTCAAATCTGATCAAAAAATATTACGATCCGCGGAATTAATGAAAATGACATAAAATTCTATTCTTCTCTAGTTCTAACTTCCAAATTACAGGTTATTGTAACGAACATTGTGATTATGCATGTATATATATGAACGCTCACAATTTTGTGATTGTAATAATTGAATTAATTTGAGAGTTGAAATATGATATTGTATCTTCGTGTCTGATGTTTTCTGATCAACTGCACGTTTAGTTGATAAAATTGAAGTACAGCCTTCAAATCTTGGAACAACTGAAGGTTTGTAATGTTTTATTGTATGTATCCATGTGACATGAAATTTTATAAATCTTATTGATATACGAAAAGTGCTTTCATAAAACTACCCTAATTATTTATTCACTGCACGCCTCGATTGCCTCGCCTAGATTACACGTATTGTTTTATAATGCCTTAAAAAATTTGCAGATCCTTGGCCGAACGCGTAAGCATATAATCTTGGCCATACATCACGTGAAGATATTGAGTTTCCTTTTTCGCGTTTTAAACAGTAGATGGAAAAGAGGGTCCATAAGGCATCTAAATGAATTACGTAAAAAATGCTGTAGAACAATGTGATCATCAAGGGCGTATTTCATAAGACTTTTTTAAGATATGGAATTCTGTAAAAGGAACAATTGAAAGTATTTAAAAAAAATCATTCATATATAAAAATGATGTTGCTTATTTTAACTTAATATGAAATAATTGGTGCAAAAATATGTGAAACACAAAAATAAACGAATAAATCGAATAAATGTGTAGCAAAAAATTTTACAATGAATTTTACACAATAAAATACTTTTTCAAAATATTTAGTATTTGACTTGTTTCTAACAGGTTTTAAATGATAATTCCAAAAAAAAATATTACACTTTTAAGAACTCCGATGTATGTTGGCGTTTCAGAATTGGTCATATGTCATCTTTTGTAGTTTTATTTAAGTAAAGTTTTTAGATAAAGAATCTAAATGGGGCATTTTATCAAAGAAAAGTATTCAATAAATGAACATATTTAGATAATTTATTTTTTATTTTTTATTTTTCTCAAAAAAAAGAAAAAAACAAATAGAAAATTTATCACACGATTTTTGGACTTTTCTTCTTTTATCTTTATCATAGCTGTACTCGGTACTATAAATTTTGATAGTTGTATGATGATCATGAAATGAGATATATTTTGTGTTACTTTTCTTTATAATCACGATTGTATCACGAATATGTACTCTTTACATAAATAAATTTTGATTATATCACATGTGATAAATTTGCCCATTAAAGTTTTATAATTTTTTTAGGTTTTTTTTCTTAAAAAAAAAAATGCATAATATATTACTATTATCAAAGACAATCAAATACATTTTTTTTTTCTTTATTAATGACATTTTTGGACTTGTAATCGGAAATTTCCGAAGTTTTTGTTCATAAATTTTACAATCAAAAAAATCAATGATTACTAAAAATAAATTTCTATTATCAATGTAAATACAATATTTTTCTTTAAAAAAGTCAGATAAAGCGGTAATTACGCAAGCAAATGCAAAGATAGCCGGCATAAGCCGATAAATGACGTATTTATTTAACAATATAATGTATTTGACGTCTGACGCGTTTTATTAATTGTTCAAAGAAAAAAGCATTTAATCTATTGTATCTATTGTTAATAATTTTTCTCTATTTTACGCCCAAAATAGAACTGTATGATTGTTTAAATATATATATTTTTTCTTATAAAAAGGCTCTAAAAATTCCTAGAGAAATGGCAAAAATATTTAATATTTTTTTTTACAAAAAAAAAACAAAATAAAAGTACTCAAAAAGAATCAAAATTCAAATATGCACATTTATATAAAAATTCCTTTCTATTACTCTTTCTTAATTATTAATTCCTATTACTCCTCCTTAATCTATTATTTAATCCCCATTACATATGATTTACTCATTGTTATTAAAGCATATTCTTTATGGCTTATTATTCGCTCTTTTATAAATCGCCAAAAAATGAACGTTAAAGATTCAAATGTACGAGCATTGAATTGTAAGATTCAAATGTACGAACATTGAATCGTTTTGTTTGGAATCAAGCCAACAAACCCGGCGGAACAACTTTCTTTCAACAATTCTCTTTTAATGACCTACAATCAATTCACTGATTATCCGCTATCCTATAAATGTATTATGGCATTAAATAATACAATTAGATATATAATAAATATTATGGTTGTCGGTGAGATGTTCACTGGCGAGACATTTGTCTTGCCGGTAACGTTAGAACCACAAACATAATAAAAATTATTTATTTATAATCATTCCCCTATAATGAAGATCAAAGGAAAGAATTCTAAAACCAAGTGGATTGAAGAATGCAAGAGATTGATTGTCCGGAGCAAAGCGTAGGACTGTAAACGCTCCGGACTTTGACTTTACAAGAAATTTTATCGTTGATGCCAGAGCTATTGATATTGTTTGCTTATTCATTCATGACTTAAAATTTAATAAGCAAAAAAAGACAAGATAAAAAAGATAAATAATAATAGAAGTCGTGTATTCATTCATGACTTAAAATTTAGTAAGAATGAATAGGATAGACATTTGTTCTACTTTAAAATTTAATTTTTGCGTATTCATTCATGACTTAAAATTTAATAATTGAAAATAGATCATACTACTATATATTATTATGAATTTATTCTAGTTTAAAATTTAATTTTTGCATATTCATTCATGACTTAAAATATTATTATGAATTTATTCTAGTTTAAAATTTTAATTTTTGCGTATTCATTCATGACTTAAAATATTATTATGAATTTATTCTAGTTTGAAATTTTAATTTTTGCGTATTCATTCATGACTTAAAATTTAATAAATCAAAAATTATTGTTCCAAGTTTAAATTTGTCTTTTGCTTAAATATATATATTATTCAATGATAATTTCACTAATAAATTTTATTTCATAGGAATTGTACTGAGAATAATATTACGATTTTTATTATGATACGAGCATATTGTCTTTAAAAAATCAATGGAATTTCTAATTTTAAAATCACGAAAGATACAGTAATCATCCATTTTTAATTCCAGCCAATAATATTATTAATAATGCAAGCCGAAAAAGTCTTTAATGCGGGATTACAATGAATTTTAAGTAATGAGATTATAAAAGAGAACAATAGGATCATCGAAATTATCAAAATCATATACGCAATTTTATTAGGTAAAAAAAAACTATTTTTGCGTTGTTATTATAGAAAATATCAGTGATTTTATTGGTGAGCTGCTATGACCTTTGGGATTTTCTTTAACGGTTCATGATCTTTGGAATTTAAAAGAAATTAAACAAATTAAACAAATTAAACATAACTCAATATAATAACTTTTTCAATTTTGATCAAAAATTTTGCAAATTGTAAGTTCTTCGTAGATCTTTAAAATGTGGTATTTGAACTTCCCCATTAAATCCTAATTAATTTGATTGATTATATTTGTACAAAAATTGTCTTATTATCTTGTTATTTATTGTTCAAAAAAAAATTGTAGAATTACTTTAAATAAACTTTTTTTATTTTACATTTATCAAATATTTTTGAGTTACAAACATATGCATAATTTTTTGATCAATCAATCAAATAAGGTTAAACTTATTTCAGATTTTTAAAAAAGGAAAATTTATGTTTAATTAATTTGGACAAGTTTCACAAAAAAGTATAATATTAAAATATGTTAAAAATATATTTCATATATTAAAAATGAATGAATGGACTCCATATACATTATACACCAAGGTTTAGTTAGTTTAATGCCATCAATACATGGACGACATTACACTAATTAATCTTCAGTTCTTTAACCCTTGTCGTATGTCGTATACGTATCAAATATCAGAATTTTTATTTTTATCTTTTTTTTTAAAAAAAAAATTATTCTCAAAGGGAACTGGACATCTTTAACCGGTAGGTTCAGAATTTTTATTTAAATAATAGCTATATTAATAAATTTATATATACTCACTAATCCCGATCTGAACCTAAAGGCAAAGGAACGAAAAAAAAATATATTAAGGAAAAAAAAAATTGGTTAAAAAAAATAAAAAAAAAAAGACACGGCGCCTATCGTAGCCCCTGATCACCGAACCTAAAAATAACAATTTATGGAATAAAGAAAAAAAATTTTAGATGATACGATCTGTTGCGGTCATTCTTACCGTCGGCCAGAACGCACACATAAACCATAATAAATACGAAATAGATCAAGCAGCAAATAATGTGATTACTATAGAACCTTAGAATTGCAGATTAAAGGAATTGGAAAAGTTTTAAGTATCAACAATTGTAATGTAAAATTTAATTTTCTCAAAATCAATTAATTACAAATTTTTAAAATTTTTTAATTAAATAGGACGCATGACAAGGGTACTTTACTGGCATCAATGGAAATTTACCGATTTAAAAATCAAAATGTTGATGAATTTGTTGTTGGATTTGCTGCTGCTGCTGTTGTATCTGCCCGCTTTGTAGTACGCCAAACCCAAACATTCATGTTTGCTTAATAGAAACTCGTGATCCAGAGCTTTATGGTTTTTTATTTAGATCTATGAACCCCGATGAAAAAAGTAAAAAAAAAACAAGACAGCAATTAAGGCAAAAAGTGATGATGCTTTGTTATCAAATGGCAGCATTGCGAAACAAACGACAAAAGCTGCTATTGGATTGTATATTACTGGTACTGGTACATCAACAGTTGGAATTAATACAATTAATGGGCATAAGCGTGACATATAAAACTGTATATAACAAGAAAAAAATAGTTGCGGCGCATGAACAAACAGTTCAAAAATAAATTTCATATAATGTTAGAAAACTCATGTATTTTGTAATTTATGAGTATTCAAATATTAATTTAAAAAATAAATTTACTTTTTTAATTCTTAACGTGGATGATTATCATGATTTACATGAATCTCGCACTCCAAGCGTAACATTTATCAATCGTATTTCGCATATAGCAACTACTTTACTTAATACTAGTGTCGCACCATATATTTACACCATAAATGGCGTTGATGCTGTGTTGCTTAAGAATATCCTTTATTCACAATATATGACCAGAATTTGCAATTAGCTATAATGCACAAAAATCCACCTGGATTTCGATACGTTATGATGCAGCCCGAAATTTTGATACAACTAAACTTGTTGATTTCATACCAAAAAAATATGAATGACTATTTAAAAGTGTTAACTAAACTATTTGGGTAATATGTAACTTATTCTTTGAAGTACGATCATATTTATTAAATTAACCAATATTCAATTCCAATAGAAATACAAATTTAATTTGATGCTAAATGTTAAAGTCATGTTGTTGTAATTCCATGATCCATCTTGCTCATTGGCCTTTTGGGATTTTAGAAGTTTAATTAATTATCTCTATCATTATAAAGATAATAGGATAGATAAAGAAAGAAAATTAGGGTAAGGGAAATAAGAATAAGAGAAATTAGGATAAGGGGAACCTTTACATGTTTCTCTAAATACCCGTGAAAGTTGTTTTTTAACTTTTCATCCATTTTTCAACGAACTATACGCAATTTAGCAGCGTATCCAAAACCTTAACGTATTAATCCTTCACCTTTTTAGCACATGCAAGTTGAAATATTGTATAGTCTCATATTTGTTGCACGTTTTGATTGCTCATTAGCCTTTTGAAGTTTAATTATCTCTATCATCATAAATATAATAGGATAGATAAAGAAAGAAAATTAGGGTAAGGGAAATTAGGATAAGGGAAATTAGGATAATAACGAACTATACGCAATTTAGCAGCGTATTCAAAACCTTGACGTATTAATCCTTCAATTTTTTTAGCACATGCAAGTTGAAATATTGTAAAATCTCATATTTGTTGCACGTTTTGATTGCTCATTGGCCTTTTGAAGTTTAATTATCTCTATCATTATAAAGATAATAAGATAGATAAAGAAAGAAAATTAGGGTAAGGGAAAGGAAATTAGAATAAGGGAATTAGGATAAGGGGAACCTTTACATGTTTCTCTAAATACCCGTGAAAGTTGTTTTTTTAACTTTTCATCCATTTTTCAACGAACTATACGCAATTTAGTAGCGTATCCAAAACCTTGACGTATTAATCCTTCACCTTTTTTAGCACATGCAAGTTGAAATATTGTTAAGTCTCATATTTGTTGCACGTTTTGATTGCTCATTGGCCTTTTGGGATTTTAGAAATTTAATTATCTCTATCATCATAAAGATAATAAGATAGATAAAGAAAGAAAATTAGGGTAAGGGAAATTAGAATAAGGAAAATTAGGATAAGGGGGACCTTTACATGTTTCTCTAAATACCCGTTAAAGTTGTTTTTTTTAACTTTTCATCCATTTTTCAACGAACTATACGCGTATCCAAAACCTTGATGTATTAATCATTCACCTTTTTAGCACATGCAGGTTGGAATATTGTAAAGTCTCATATTTGTTGCACGATTTGGACAATCAAAAAATCTTGGATATCGTACGTTCATAGATTTGTTAGACAATTTTGTTACTGTTACATTGGGTGTATATGCTATATTATTTAGAGGAAATAATTTTGATCAATATATTGAAACAGTCAGTATTTCGCTTATGGACAGTAATGAGAAGGTTTGGACGAAAAAATTATGACAAAGTGATTCTTGCCTTGTATATCTGATATTCAATATTGGATTTCTATTCATCATATTCATCATCCAATCATCAATACTCTTAAATCCCAGTTGCAAATGTTTGATGAATATCCTGTTGAAAACTTCCACAGTTTATAAGGAATACATCCGGCCAGAAAATAGTTAAGGCGGGATGCAATTTTTATTGATCATCATAGGAATGATAATGGAAAAAGAATCTGGATTTTGATGATAAAGCGGACGGCAATATTTCTCCTATAATCTTTTGAGAAAATTTGGATTAATCAAGGAAAGCGAAAATAAAAATAGAGGGTGCAAGAATTAAAAAACAATACTACTATTACTAAAAGATTACCCATTGGAGCGCTACTTCTGGCTATGGTTTCTCTCCAATCAAGGCCAATTTGTGATTATTGTAACAATATTTTGTAATGGATATGTACTCGTCTGTGGACATGCGTACTAAGCCGTGTCCTGAGATACGACATGCAAGTATTTTCCACTTCGGATCTCGAAGCGGATTTTCGTGATCCTGATGAGTTAAGTCGTTGGTTGGCAATAAAATCGGAGGTGCTGTCAAAAGTTGTAGAAGAAGAGGAAACCATGGAGCGGATCTCCAGAACGGGACTAATATTGTCAGAGATGCTTTTTCGCGTATTGTCTTCGCTAGGTTGGGATCAAAATGTATCTATTGTTATAAGTATTTTTCATTACCCATTGAATTAACAAGGTCATTTAATGAGCGCTTAAAAACGGAATCTGACGTTGAAAATGAATTTGATTTACCACCTGTCGATGAAATTCCACTTGAACAAGCAGAAAGTGTTGAATAAAATAATAATAAAGATATATATAAGAACTTGTGGAATCAATCTCGGGTATTAAAATGTAATAATGTATTAAATAGTATATTACAATAAAGTAATTATGTTTAGCTAACTTGAAATTGTCTTTATTAGCTTTTTTATTCAGAACGCAAATATTAATTAAAAGATAACATGGTGCGATTATAGAGCTTGTATTTTACTTTTGTATTTTTATTTTATGATAAATGCTTTAAAATTGATTATCACGTTTAGATCGATTACGATCGTACAACAATAAAAATCAGTACATTACCAATTTTTTTTTTTTTTTTTTAGTAAAATGTGCTTATAAAGCTTATAAACTACCTAATCTGTAGAAATTAATGAACTAATGAAGAGGTATGTTAAAAGCAAAATTTTATTTAGGTTATCGATATTAGATATATTAGATATATTAGATATGTATTGCAAAAAAGTATCAGCTTTTTTACTTGACCCGTCTGCATAAGGTTAAAAATACCATATTGGCTGCTAAAATAGGCGGGAAAATAGCATAAATGCAAAATTGGACTTTTTATTAACGTTAAATAATGATTAATAAATAATTTTTTTTAAAATTAGTGGTCTATTCATTGGCCAAAAGTTAACAGTATCTGAAGTTCGGTATTGAATTTCAAGAACATCCCAATGTAGCCGAAACCGGTATTGCCAGTGTATATAATGTGTCAGGATGGGATGAAAATGAAGCAAGGAAAGCATTTTCAATGACAAACATTCAATATTCTTATGGAGGTAGTGGTACATCTCGAATAATAAAAAATTGTGATTCTTTCCCGAAGTTAAGAACTATTAAATGCGGATCACACATCTGTGGGTTTACTTTAAAAATTTAATCGATGCCAATGAAAAATTTCAGGAAAAGGCAACATTTTGGTTAGTATTTTACGCTTAGTTATAATATAAAAATTTAATATTTTAATTTATTTATTTAAATTTACAGTATATTCGTCAAACCACATGAATACAAATGTCAAAACGGAATACGGTTTAATTGTACACCAAAGATTTAAAGATTTACACAAGTACGTTTAGTATATTCAAACATATTTTTTTTATATTTATTTTTATTTAAAAAAAGTAACTTCATGTTTACAATTTGTTATTGCTATAACGTTAATAATTAATTCTATTACGAATAACCTTTGTTATTTTATATAAATTATTTATAGATAATTGGGTCAATGGCAAAAAAAGAAGTTTGAACATTCTTACCATCCTAATGGCTTTGATTTTGAGGTAAACTCGATTTTAAAATATAGATTATTTAATATTAACGTAATTAATAATTAATATTAATATTTAATTGCAGTAGTGTAATAGATGAATGTTATATATGGCACGCTCTAATAATACACGATCTGATGAATGCTGTAAGTAATTTTAAACAATAATGTTTGTATTATCCATCTATTTTTTATTAATATTTTATTGTTTTTATTAAAGCATTGTTACATAAAGCTGGAAATCACGTCGTTGAGGGAATTATAAAAAATAAGACTGATAATTGTCCAGTTAAACTTTACCATATGATTCCAGAAAATTTAAGTGATTGCCCATTTATTGTAACAATATAAGTAGGTAAACATAATCATTCAGCTTTACCGCCTTACAAGACACCATACAATGTAAGAAGTCAACTTTAAAAAATATTTGATAATGAAGATATACTTGTTTCATTCTGTTCCATTGTGATCTCGCAGCACATTTCAAATAAATGCAAAGGCTGCTTCAAAAATCTGGCAAATGTTATCTGAAGATAAAAAAGTGGGTTTCTTCAATTTTGAAATCACCATGGATCATAAAAAAAAAATTAAAATAGTCCATTACAACCCTAATAAGGAACAGAGGAAACAACCGAATTGCTTCATACTATTCCGTCGTGATCTCACAGCCCATTTTCAAATTTGATTTAACAGCAAGAAGCTTTTAGCTGGTATGTTATGGCATAATATTTATAATTACGAAGTAATTAAAAACTTACAAATCAATTTTCACTGATAATTATAAGTAGGGTCTGTGATTAAAGCTATTTAAATGGAAAGGCAATAAGTGATTTGCATCCATCCAATCTAAAATCAATTAAAATATTGAAATAAGTAGACGCTCAAGCACTTTCTGAATTAGCATATATTTAAATTGATACGACATTTAAAAGAATTCATGGTATTACAAATGAATGGGAAGTAGCAGTATATCAGCCTCAAGTACAAAAAAGTAAGTTAAAATGAGATTAATGATAATATCTATTAATTTTTATTTATAATTACTGATTTACAAATTTAAAAATATTGAAACAGATAAACTTATTTGAAGACTTATTTAATTGTATTAAAAGATATATAGGCGAAACAAAGGATTAGGATGTACAGTATAATTGCTGACCAATATAAAGGACAAGCGTTAGGTAAATTAATAATTATATATTTTAATTATTTTAATGATAAATTTATAATGTTAAAAAAAATTTTTTAAAAAGTTTAGGAATTAGGACAGTATCCACATCTAACGCCAATTGAACACGTACAAATATTTATAAATTATGTCAAGTTCATTATAAACGGTAAGTTCAGTTATAAAATAACAATTTTTTGGAAATTATTAATTATTGCTGATATTAAATTGTTAATTATCTTCTTAATTATAGAATCATTGATAAGAAAGAAAATTATCAAGAGAAATTTGGAATTCTATGTATGCAATACCTTCTTTAAACACGCAAGAATAAATCTTAGAAATATTAAACAAAATCGAGTATTGTAAAGAATCAGGAACCGCAGGTAGTTAACAAAACTATTTGGCTTTTAATATCAATCTAAATCGATTACAATTACTAAATTTAATTTTATTAAAATTACTTAAATAAATATTAAACGTTAAATTTTTATATAGACTGAGTGAAGGATAGGCGTGTTCCAAAGCGAAAAGCTAAAGCACAGGAGACGGCGGAACAATGGCAAGCTCGACTAAACCGAGAAAGCGAACGAAAACGCGCGCAAGAAAGTGAAAAGAACGTCTAGAAAGCGTTCGCAAAAGAAGAAACGATAAAAAAGAAATGGGAATCGATGAGGAACGTGTTCTTCGCTTAGCACAGGAAGGTAATCGTAAACGCGTGTTGCGAGCTCGTAATAAGAATCAACTACAAGATCGGCAAATAAACGAACCAAATGACAACGAACATATTCAAAGAGAGGATGATAATAGATACATGCACGTCAGATCAACAACGTCTACTACTATTAGCGAGGACGATCACAAAGTATTGCAGAAATTTCGTAACAAAATGAATAATATCCAGTACAACACTTGCCCGAATGTAACGAACGGATCACAGATATGACTCTCATCATGGGCGAGTGTTGGGTTTTATCCTCCTTTATCACCTCTTCTTTCTCTTCTTTCTCCGCCCCCTTCGCCTTCGTATATATGGTTTAGATCAGATTTCACATGTATTCACCAAAATGGATCACACTATTTGGTTCCAAACACCAAATAATGCTAATGTTGGAGAAAGTGCCCATGCGAATATAAACTGTGATGGTCGTGACATTTCCCTTCTTTCTGGAATTGGTAGGTAAATATTATTTATTTTTATTTACAAAATTAAAAAATTTATTTTTTAACGAAGACGCGATTTTTATAATAGACAGTGGGAGAGTGTACATATTCATAAAAAAAATATAATGGTTCAGATTCCTATCGAAATAAGTCAGACCTGTTTCAATCAATTCAAGTCGAACAAAGATCAGGTAACATCTTAATTATTTTTAGTAAATTCTTAAATTCTAATATAATTTATATACTTATATTTTATTATTATTTTAGCATCTACGACTATATCTACAACTTTAACGCCTATTACTCAAAATTCAAATTTTCACTGGACAAATTTAACTCTATATAGACATCCCGATTAATGAAATTCGTATTACTCTGTCTTTTATTTTTTTTTTATTGAAGTTCCATAGCATGCATTATAATCAATAAATCGAAAATTAATAATACGACACCATTTTTTTTTTTGATATCCCGCCTCAAATGATTTCTTTTATGCAAAATTCTATTACAAATAATCGAAATGATACACCTAATTCACCACCAAATACATTATTTTTTCCTAAACAACAAGTTCTATCTTTTGATGTAAATTAGATGAATCATCAGGTGATGGAGAAGAATTTACAACATGATTTAAAGATATTTTTAAAGAACAACGAATTTCTGTAAATCAGATTTATGATCTTAGTGTAAACAAATAGGATGGCAAAATTTTACAAATAGTTTATGGAATTTTAGTATGCGTAATAACAATCGATCAAATTCTTTTTGTAATTACTGATCAATAATAAAACAATAAAAGACTTTTTTTATTTTGTCAACAAATTTTGATTAATGATATGTATAGCGTAAATGTATTACGTAAAACATATGACAGACCTAATTGTTATTGTTATACATGCTGCGATCGATCGATCGCGTAAAACTAGTTTATACTATTACATATAAATTATATAAAATGTTTCGGCCATTTGTGAAGTAATTTGAGAACATGCTCTTAAAAGAGGATATCTAGAATATATCAGAAAAACAAGTTTCTATAGGATTAAAATCAAGAGAATAAGAGGGTAAAATATCAACACGACCACCAAATGCTTCAATATATTCTATAATATCTTCATAATGCCGAAATTTTTGAATTAGTAACGCATTTTTATTAATTATTTAAATCTTAAAAGATTACATAATTTTTTATAATTTTTTAAAAATACCTAAGACATTAACATCAAACCATTAATGACTCTATAACTAACCGACCTCTATCTAAATGATTTAACTAACTAATAAATTTTTTAAACTAATATTTTTTAACATTTTTTTTTTTTTTTTTTGATTATTTAATATTTTCCTGTTTTCTATATTTTCCGCTTTTCCATCTTTACTACCCCCAAAAAATTGATATAAACAAACAAACAAAGAAAATTGCTTCTGTGAAAGCTAAATCAAAACAACCAAAACAAAAAAAAACCCCAATTAATACATTAAAAATAAACCCCATTAAATTTACGCCTTGACGGAAACATATTCGAAGTACGATCGAAAATTTTCCACTCGATCGCGTGTTCCGCAAACCTTTTCCAACGCAAACAAAACAAACCTTACTATAAATTTGTTCAACCGTTAATCTCATTTATTCTGGTACTAAATCCATTGTTCAACTTGTTATAATCTTCAAGCTCTTCTTTGCTTTTAGGTACTATCGAAATCGCCAATAACTTAGGACTCGCTAATGCATCTTCAAATTGTTCATCCTCCGACGGAGGATGTGCACTGTCGTTTGTCGCGTTCCTGTACCGTTCATAATGATGAATTCGTGCATTATCAAGTACAAGAACATTTTGTTCGTTATTTTAGCCTATCACACTTAAATATATATTATATATTTACATTTTTTTTTTGCCGGGATAAAAAGGAGATTCTCACGTGATCTCAAATTTCTACAATTGGTTATTTAATCAACAACTAATACAAGTCAAATTTTTCTTCTTCTTTTGATAATGCAACATATTACTATCCTGATTCGGATAGTTCTTAAGTTCTTATTATATTTCTAATTAGGGCTTGATTTTTCTATCCATAAAATAAATAAATAAATAAACTAATACAAGTCAAAAAAAAAAAAAACTTCGCTTTTTATAAAAAATTGGTTAGGGATCGAGAAATTGCTCCCTTTAAATTTATTTTATATTAAAAAATTAAATAATAAAGCTTTTTCAATATAGGATTAAATTTTTTTATTTTTATTACTTTAATTCAGTGGTGTGGTGATAAGATTTTTCCACCAAATCCACTTGTTATCTTATATTAAATGCGAAAAAATATCATTATCCAGAGTTGCTTTCAAAATAGTCTAATTCTTCTAAGTGTAGTTTATAGTTTTTTCCATAAAATCTGGAAAACCCTCTAGTCAAACTTAAAAGAGATGAAAAGAATGGACTTTTGAAATTCATCTTCAAATTTAATTTATGAAATTTTGGAAGAATGTCAAATAATATATGTTCTTGATATCTTGATATTGATTTAACCGCATTTCAATTTCTTCCCCAGTAACCCCCATTTTTCATCCCACGTGATGTCTATTGAACTATTGATCTCTAATTTTTTATGTAAAAAGTTACTACTATATTTAATGTAATTTTACATTTATCAAACTGTTGTATGAACAACATAAATTAATTTGACGTAAAAAAATTTTTACGTGTAATTTTATCAGTTAGTCGAAAACCTAGCTTAAATAATCTCTGTAGTTTCTAAACTATAATGTCGGTACTTGGGCATACCCAATTATTCGGTGGGTTTGAGGGAAAACACACGAGCAAAGTAACCTCCACAACTAAATCTACATATTTCATAATTTTCTTCCATAATATAATTAGATGGATTAGAATTGCCCTTTATATTAAATTAATTTGACGATTATTCTCATAACCATTTCTTGATAGATAATTCTCAGCTACACCTCCAGAATACGAATTATATACTGGACGAGGTGGAAAGGGTATAAATTTTTTATTAATAATTAAGTCTTCGATAAATTTGAGGTGTCCGGTAAGGATGGCTGGTGCGTCATTTATCGTGAAAGCTCCGGCTGTTAAATAATGAAATAACTCTAAATCGTTACAGCTGCCTCTTGTGAAAATTTGTAACGATAAAAAGTATATTCTCTTCCAACAAAAACCTCAGGTGCTATGTAAGGAAGTTTTCCATACATAGTCAACATTAATATTATATTTCAATCAATTTCGGGTCATAAGTACCGAATTGAATCATCAATCGTTGCATGAAATATCTTAAAATAATTTTATATATATATATATATATACTAATATTTGCACAACTTCCTACCGTTATGAAATTATTCCCTAATCTGACAGCGTGAAAGAGAGCATGTGCTCTCCATACTTATAAATAATCCATTCAGCACGAGCATGGGGATCTTGAGACATAGAATACCAGTTACGATTGAGGAGGACGAGTGACATAGGTGTAAACACATATCTGAAGATTTCAACTTTTAATTCACCGTAAAGTGACTCCATTTTAAAAAAAAAAAATTAAAATTTTTAGGTAAAATGAAAGGTATTTTTTGTTTTTTGTTTTTTAATTGAGGAAGGGTTTAAAGAGAAAGGATAAAAAAAAATATATACATTTTGCCCGTTTTTTTTTTAAAAAAATAAAATTTTACAATAACGGCAATAACGATAGGACGTTACTTTTTCTCTTTCATCATAAACAAAAAAAAGGAACCTTATTATTTCATTAGTTTATCATAAAAATCTTAGTTCATCATAAATAATAATATAAATATTTGGAACCGAAATGGCTGTATAAACCAAAATATATATATACTTTTTTTTTTTACAAAATGGTCATCGGAATGTCCTATCAAAAAAGGATAAATTTCCGTTGTAATCGTAACGCTAATGAAACCATTTATGTATTTATTTATTGTGAGAATTTTTTTAAAAAAAAGGAAAGTGAAAGGGGCTTTAAATAAATTAGCTTATATGACTAATTAATTAATATAATAATAATAATAACGTACGTATGGAGAAACAAGAAATATCTAGAAAATTCGTGCAAGTATTTTCGTTCTTTTTTCCCGATTTAGATCTCCTCAGTTTCCTTGCATGCTTTATCTCCCCAATCACGCCATCTTTTAATTTATATTGATTTGTATAAACTATATAACAGACAAAGAAATAATTTTTTTGCTGATAAACGTAATACTTTATTAATTAGTAAATGATAAAGAAAATCAAAGTAGAACCGGAGTTTGAGACAAAAAAAAATAAATTATTTCATGGGGCAATGATCAGGGAATCTTAATCTAAACCAAAATTTATTTATTATCAAAAATTAATTCTCTACCAATTAAAATTAATATACGTGCCATGTGACAAACCGACGCTGTAGTTTTATTTTTTAGCAATAAATTTGAGACGAAACCTACTGTGAGTTTCAATTATTCTTATATCACGTGAAATTTAGCACGTGAAGATATGACACGATATTATCTGTTTTTGTTACTGTAATAAGTAATTCGTTATTGTCATATCAGGTTATGAATATACCGAATAAAAGCCCATTTGAATGAGATAAAAATTTGATAGAGTTTTATAAAAATTGAAAGTACATTTAAGAGTCGTTTCATCATGTTTAATGGAATGACTGGGAAGTAAATGAAATACTAAATTTGATACTTGCATTCAATATTTATTGATTATGCACAATCATACTCATGAGAACAAAAAAAATATACATATTTTTAAAGTTGAAATCTTTAATGAGCATTAAACAGGAAATATTTTACCTTATTGGTTATTTACATTTATAAAATTTAAAAGATATTACGATACGCAAAAAATAAAAAAGAATGAGTCATAATACACCATGCATTTTTCTTTTTTTCTACAAGACTTTTTTTTCTTTGATATTTATTTTTGGAAAATCAATAAATCAATTATAGTTAACCTACATCTGGAGTTTTTAATTAATGTTGCGTGCTAAAAATAAATTCTAATGTTACACAAACCGATCCAGGCAAAAATGCCATTAAGGATTTCCTTTCATTCCTAAATTTTATATAATATTGTGTTATCATATATATTTTTTTTCTTAATAGTGAATAATGATCTCAATATTTTAATTTGTTATTATACTTTTAATGATTATACGCTATAGTTAGTAAATTCGTCATTTTAATAAAGATTTTGAAACAATTCTATTATTTAGCATCCCAAATGAATTATATAATATGTTTATTTTCTTATAAAAAGGCTTTAATTTAAAGTTTCTAACGAAATTTTTTAATAAAAGTTTTATTTTAAAAAAAACAAAAACAAAAACAAAATATCAAATTCTAATTCTAATTCTCATATCTAAACTAAAATATTTACATAAAAAATTAATTCTTTCTAAACGCTTAAATGCTTATTAAATTATCAAAACATATAAGCATTTAATCTTCACAGTTTCATCCTATGATTGTTTTATATATATTTCAAAAAAAACTTTCCTTAATATTTGTGACACATTCACTTATACTATTACTTACTGAATTACTGAAATGTATGGTGAATTAGATACTTTTAAAGTTCGCTTCAGAACATGAATTATTGTCCACGAAGAAGCCAAATTAAAATAATTTTATTTTACAAGAATTATTGTCTCGATCAGGATAAAGGACAATATTTCTTATTTATAGTTCCCTTAATTAAATCCAATTATTATTATATCCAAGGACAGAACTTTATTATTATTTTATTTTATTTTTTTTATTTTATTTTCTGTCAATGAACATTTTTCTAAAGCGAAAAACATCTGATTGGTTTCTCTTGTGGTTGATCACGTGAGTAGATTGATCACGAGAAAACATAGAAAAATTCAGTGAACTTTTTAAATAAACAAATAAATAAATAAGGAGGAATAAACCATCATTCCTCCTTATTTTTGTTTATTAAAGTATTACAAACAACAGCAACAAGGAGGGAAAATCTTAAATATAATAAATTGTAGATATAAATGAAATGAGATTCTGATAGTTTACTCTTACGATGAACTTATTAGTGATATTTTATATATAGAAATGCAAAGTTTATATCTATTACTTTTTATTTTAATTTTTGTGTATTCATTCATGACTTAAAATTTTAATAAATTTCAAATAATTTTAATAATTAATCATTTTCAGTTAAAGTTCATTTGACTTATCGTGAAATATTTTCAAGAAATTGTAATAAATTAATATTTACACTTTTTAAAAAAGTATTTTAATTTCGTGTTTAACATTGACCTGCATATACAGTATTTGCATGTAGATCATGCATAAAATTGCATAAAGGATTTTGATAAGACGGGAACTTATCAAAATAGTTTACCTGCGTGTATCCAAATGCATCATCTGAAATCTGAATAATCACTTTTTGTGATATTTATTATACCAACTTTATGTACAGACATCACCAAATTTTATATAAATATGGACTGCTATTTTTTAAAGAGAAAATTGTCCTTGTAATTAATTAATTACAAGTACCATCGTTATTCGTATTTCGTTTAAAATTTCATCGATCGTAAGTGACTATTTTAATTTTCGAATGTATTTTACTATTTTTTCTCCTTTATAATATTTGTAATAATTCAATTAATTTTCTTAGGTTTTCCACCCTGTATACGTAAAATTACTTACAAAATCGTTAATTTTTTTCTTACCTATGGTAATTCTAGAAAATTTTTATCATTTTTTTTTATATTAAAAGTAAAGATGTTTGATTAATTTTTAATTTATAAATTCATAAATCAATTCCAATAGCCTATAACAGATGATTTTATTCAACATCCGAATTATTATTATTACTCCCGTACTCGTTTTATTGTTTTATTGCCTCCGCTTATTTATAAAATTATGCCTCATTAAGATAAATTTTTTATTAATTTTTTTTTAATAAATAAAATGAATTAATAATAAATAACTTTTTTCTGTCAATGTATAACATTATTTTCATTAAAAATAAAAGATATAAGCATTTTATTATGGAGAATTTTTGTGTTACATTTTTTCTTAATGATTTATCACGTTTGTTTTTAATGGTTAATACCTCAAAAAGGTAATTACGTAGATCCGTTTTATGTTTTCTATTTACTAAGCATTTCTATTTGTCGGTAATTAACATGGGTAAATTTAAAGAAATTATCGTAATAAATGACATAAAAAGGGTAATATTGGCTATAAACACGTTAATTATTTAAAAAATTAAACACTTATAAAAAAAAAACAGCCCAATAGTGAGATAATGATTTGATGTAGTCTTGTATTGACCGATATTTCATCTAATTCGTTGATATGGTGTTCGCTTCTAATGTAATTGGTTACATTCCGAATAATCTCTTCAATAGTAACTTTACTTATCGGGATTCGGGAATCTTATTCCTACGAAATTCTTTATTATTTTCTCAATGAATTGTTCTTTATTATTTTCTCAATGGATTGTTCTTTATTATTTTCTCAATGTATTGTTTATTATTTCCTCAATGTATTGTTTATTATTTTCTCAATGAATTGTTCTTTATTATTTTCTCAATGAATTAACTTATTTTGTTCTTCCGTTGTAAGTCTCTTTTGTATGATATCTCTGTATTGTACATATTAGATTATCTCTTGAAAATTGATGCAGTATTTGAGTATGTATGAAACTTTGTTACAGTATATGATATATGAAACTGGTTTAATCTGCTTTTGCTTATCAGAATTGTTATTTTGGAATTTCCGCCGTGAGTTCTTTATTAAAACTCATATTTTTTTTTAGATTGATAAAGGAAAAGACATGTACAAAGTACAAATTTTTAATTAGTTACAATTAATAATTTTAAATTATTGATAAGAACTTTTATACATATGAATGATATGATCTTTACATATGATAGAAAGTCAATGATTAAAAAAGTTAAACAAAAGAATTCGCGTTAAATAATTAATTATTATATACTATATAAAAAACTTTTATTTCTAAAGTAGGATAGCGTTTTTTTCTTGGCGTTTTTTTCTGTAAAAAAATTATAGTGTAAATTAATAAATGCGATGTACCGCGAATAAATGTGACTATATTTTGTGCATACAAAAAAAAAAAAAAAAATTTATAGTTTAATGATTGTACCGCGAATATATGTGACTATTTTTTTTGTGCATTTGTGACATTCCAGAGGATTTTTATGACATGCCAGAGGACATATGTGACATTCCAGAGGGCGTTCTTTTCGTTTTTTTTTTTGTTTTTTTTCGTTTTATTTAATTCCAATAACTTGGAACTTGGATAAATTTAATCCATTAACTTTAAATTTGATATTATATAACGAGAAAAACAAAAGACATATCTAACGACCTCAATTAAATGATATGTTCAAGTTGAAAATTTCATCTAAAGATTTTGTATTTTATTAAAAAAAAAAAAAAATGTATATTAAAAAAATGTATACTGTATATTATATACTGTATTTCGGATGATACGATAATCAATTAACTGTTAAAGTATATACAGTATATACAGTATAATCTATTGCATTCACTTATCACATCAGCATACAGAGTGTTTATATATATATAAAGCTACTCCGTTCAAATCGTTCGTACCAAGTACCAACGCTTTCGATTTTTTAGCTATATGAGACGTAATAAATGATGAAATTTTAATTAAGCCACAGGTAAAAGCGTAAAACAAACAATAAATAATAATAATAACTGATAATAATTTATCAAGGTTTCTAAAAAATATATATATATATTTTTTTTATTTACAGACGCTTCCAACTAAAACACATTCCTTTTATCCGATTTTAATTTAAAGACGAGACTTGGTGTAAGTATTGGTTTAATGATTTTAATAATTATGATATCGTAATTCTTATTTTACTCTCACATTTCTTTACCAGTGATCCAAGCATATAAAATTTTTTTTTTTAAAAAAAAAAAAAAAAAAATTTTAGATAAAGCATTTTTTTCTTCTTTACTTTCCATTTTTAGAAATTCCCTTGTGAAAAAGAGTTGAAACCAGGAAGGAGGGCTTATAGTACGTAATTTTTTTAATAATGATTAAAATGGTCAAAAAAAAATAAATAAATAAAGAATAAATCGGTCCGGGTAAACAGAAAGAAATTCTAAATAGAATTTAGTACATAATAGCTTCTGGGAAATTTTTATTCTGATTGTATTGTTCCAGATATAATAAATCATTTCCAAAAAATATTTTTTCTGTAACAATAAGAAACAATATTAATTTTGGTTACACATTTTATTTTTTATTTGATTTTTATTATTTTATTTTTATGTTTCAGATTATTTGATTTTTATTATGGTCACACACAAATACAATAGGCTTATTTTCTAAATCACGTGTTTAATTAAAAGTTGTGATTTTTCTAAAATAAAATATTTTTAGTATAATTTTGCAATTTTATTTGAACATAAATGTATAATATTTTTGTAACTCGATCACGTGAATGAATTTTTTTTGTCGTCACTGTTCATTTTTCTACTATAATTTTTTTCTGAGCCCATCATCAGATGATGCTCTTTTATGTTCAAATCTATAAAGTTTTAAGATCTATTTTAATAAAGAAATTTTATTTTAAAATATTCTTCATTCCCAATTAAATCAATCATAATCATACATTAATTTGAATTCCTGAAATTAATGCATATTACTATTCAAAAATAATTATTTCTTTCACATCTGTTCTTTCTTATTATCAATTACTGTGAATATACATAACAAGTCTATCTTCCTCATTATATTTTGAGATCACTTTCCTTCAATTCGCAGTAACTCGGTGAATTAGCTTAAAATTAAATCTCGGGAAGCTTGAAGACAGCGATGGCTTCTTAAATCTAAGATGAAAATTTTAAATACCGTGATTCGAACTTCTCCTGTGGCTCCGATTCTTTGCTTGATAAGTTATTCTCATTTCTTTTAGCATCCACTTGTATGTATCTGTTGCTAAAATGTTGATCGGTCTTTCATATGTTCAATATCTAATGCATATTCCTATTTAGCTCCTATATGATTGCGTTGATCATTTTGTCAAATGTAAAGAAAGGGCTATTGATTACCTTTTCTCCTCTTTCAATTTATTTTTAATCTCCTCTACTTTCTTTTGAGCTGCTTCCTCAAAATTAATGATTATGCCATCTATAACAAAAAATTAACGCATTTTCTATTGTGAATACTGTGAATAAAAAATTTTTCAACTAATATACTTCAAATCTTTACATAACATACAACCTTTTTTCAAAAAAAATTCCCAATTAGCACTTAATCCCACATTTTTAACTTCTGAATTTCGGTGGACACGTAATCTCTAAAAATATCTCCATATTTCTTTACCATTGCTCTTCTATCTATTCTTTTTGTTCCTCTGCAAAATAAGACAAGTATGATTAGTTGGACAATTCTCAAACAAATCATAAATCAGTACAACATAGTAATACATCGGATAATAATACCTTTTGCCCTTACGAAAAATTGTGATTATCAGTTTGAGGTTGAATATTTTTTAAGCTACTCGTCAAATATCATTACACCAATGCGATAAATTGGTGTACACGTGCTCATCTGGTAATCAATATAACTTTCAACAGTTTTGGCGAGCGCATTGATTACGGCGATCTTTGTAATTAAGAAGAGTGCCCTCTTACATTCATCAGAAATTAGACTGTCGATAGTTTCATAAGGACAAAGCCATAACTAAATTGTCGGTCTTTCGGAGTAGTCTTGATAATAAATGTGGGATCACCTGAATCCTGGTTAGAAGTTGAATGCGCAACAGCAACCTAGAATCTTTAGAGACATACAACTTAAGTGTATCCATATGACTGTTGTTTGTGGTTTTGAACATCATTTCAACCAAATCAATAAAGCCATGAGAAATTCCATTTTTCCTTCTATTTTCTTTTCCGTTTCCCTAATAGATATTTGAAGTATTATTTCCTAAATTAATACAATCTAATGAGAGGTTGATATCAATAATATCATCAGAAGGAGATTTTCTTTGTGTATTGCCAGCATTGTTTTAATAACAGTCAATAGTACTGCAAATGTTGTACATTTGTGGATCCTAATGATTATCAGAAAAATAACAATTCAATAAACTAAAATCTAAAATAGAAATAAAAGTAAAAATAAAATTAATAGAACAAATCAATGATTATAACCAATTAATAACCCTTACTAACACTAGCATTAGAAAATTACGCCAACACCATTCGCCTTTTTATATATAGTCCGCTAATCGGTTAAAGACCGATTTATCGTGGTCTGTTGGTGTAAAGATAGTTGTGTTGTAAATAGGTGACGAAGTCTTCAGTAATAAGGCTTCGACGTAAACTCTTTCCATGTTGTCATTTTCCGCTTAATAACAGTTACTTAGATATATCCACATCTTGTTGTTGTCTTTAGTCTACTTATTCTGAGCGGTACGCCACTCCAGACCATCTTAGATATATCAAGTAGAAACGGTGAAATATTTTTCATCTAGTACCACAATATCATCAATGGATTGATTCATGTCCGGTTGATGAATGACGGTAGCTGTACGTAGCGTTGTCTTGCTTCTATGCATTCTTTCTTTAGATGCGATTTTGACGCTGCGTCGAATGCCTCGGGTGGTCTCCCATTTGATTATGTTGTCGCATCGCGATATCCATACGTAGTTTTGAATAAAACTATAAAGTATATTTTAAAAGATGTACCAACGTAAATTTGGCTTCCGTAGTTGATAACTTGAGGCTTCGTATTAGAGTATTGATGAGAATTTGTCGCATTGTCATGGTAGGCGTCCTTTCTAAATGAATCAAAAATAATCGAAGAATGATTCGAGCTTATAATTTGATTGATGGCACGTCGATACTTGTCTGCATCGTCCATTAGTTTGTGCGAGGATGTCCTTAAGAAAAGTTCGAGAGTGTCTGTAAATTTGGGACCAAGCTAGTTCAAATGCTGGACAGTCATACAAGTGAAGTAAGTCCTCAACAGTCGAAGAATTGTGCAATGTCTGTGTTTAGTCGTCAACGTGCATTGAGCCCTTTGTGTTGTCCAAACTCCAAAGGCTATGTTCCAATCAATGTTTAAGTTATACCAAATGGTGTTGACGAATTTTCTAAATTTCTGTTCAATAGGAAAAGAAAAGAAATGAGGGTAAATTGTAAATTAAAAAAGGAATTTTTAAAACTATTATCAAAATGTACCAATTCATCCGCCATATCATTCAATTCGTCCCCACTATGTCATTTGACCTTAACCATGTTAATATTAATTTTCTTTCCTCTAATAAGCATGTCAATTTTCAAAAGGAGCAATAAATTTTTTTTTTCCGAACCATTTACGGTTGGTTACCCGCTTCTTTTCAATAAATCGATGATACCGTATATGGCACTTAAACTATCCGTGTGTATATTGACTGTTGCATTTTCCGGGGCTGAGAACAGGGTTAAAAAGATCGCTGCAAGTTCAAGTTCTACTCTTGTAGACAAGGGCCAAAAGGATAAACTGGCTTTAAGTGATGCTAATGTTTCGTTGATGACGAATGACGCTCTCAGCGAAAGTTGTATGGAGAAATCATTCATCCCCGTAGACGAGTTAATAACCTTGTGCGCCATCGATCCATCTGTATTGTACGTAATCGATTTAATTCTTTATGTTGTCTCAAGTGTTCAAAAGCTGCTTTTTAAGCTCATCATTTTCAATCCATCGATCAATCAAAATATCGTTCGATTACAATTCAATAACGGTCGCTATCGTCCAATGAGGAATTCTCTGCTTCGTTCATTCCTTGTGACAAATTATTAGAAGACTTCAAACTAAATGTGTTGACTTATGAGCCGTTCGCCATCGGTATCAGCCTCAATGTGTATACTTTTAGCAGCTGAAATCGCACATTGCATCAAACCCTGCTGTTTCTCAACTTTAATGGTCGCGCCTTATGTGTTAAAGTAACTGGATAGCAAATAACATTATGATTATCAGTGATGTTGGATCTTGGATAATGATGTAAGGTTTCCTCCTGTTACCCTATATCCGTTATTTCTGCAAAAATTCCGTAAAAGTGAGCCTTTCACGGATCAATATATATAATATATATATATTATTCACGGAAAATGTAAATAATTTGATAAATTTCGTGATATAAGGTTATTATTAATTCCGGAAAGATGAGCCTTTTACGGAAAAAAGATGGAATACAAAAAACGGATCGACTTTTTGTACAGGGTTATCTAGTGATAATGTGTCAAGGCGCTTCCAATATAACTATGCTAGTTAATGTTGTACTATCTAACGTTGGCGCATCTGTTGATTCGTAGGATTCTTCACTTCCGCCATAAAAGAATATATATTTATACCCAAGCGCCACATCAGATCATTATTAAAGCGCCCGTACAAATCTGTAGATCATTCACGAAAAATTGTAAATCAGCTAAATATTCAGGAGAAATGATCTTTACCATTTTTCCTCAAGATGAGGTAAACGAATTCATTCAATGGTCAAGCTGGTAGGAAATCAAAAAAGAAAGGACAAAATGGTATGAATGTTTAATAAGTTAAGACATTGTTATCAACAAATTAAAGACAACAAGGATCAAATTAAAAGAGAAATTTGAACTTTACGCGATTCCATAGGACGTTTGTTAAAATGAGATTGTCTGTCAACAAAATTTCCAAGCACTGAAAAACATAATGAAAAAGACAAATAATGTATGAAAGTTTTTTATATAAAATTTTTAATTTTTCTTGATACTCTTGATACTAAATAATCAAAAAATTTTTATATTATGCGGAAAAAATGTAAACATAATTAAATAATCGTGATTAATATATCAGATAAAATTGAAAAATTTGAAAGCACCATTTAGGATTGATTACATGTAGGTCACAAGTGCCTTTATATAAAATTTTGAAATTGCTGCGCCACGAACCCGTTATCGAATACTTATGTGTAACATACAAAACATAAAACCAACTTTTCTGATATCTATACAACATACTAGTCTTACAGGACAGTACATTTTGTGTTTTTTGAAATTTTTAAACATTTCCAAACTTTACCTTTAATATACTGGTAAGTTATAATTAAAAATGAATTCACTGGTCGAATGATGAGGTAGACAGGTAGTAAAGGGTTATTCATATATCAGGAAAAAATTAGAAGCATGATAGACAATATCAAATATTACAATATTTACGTTTATTACTAGTATTTTAAACTGATTTTTAAAAGGCACATCATTAAATATCAGAAAATTTTATAAGTTGGGAATTATTTTCTGACACGACTGTACTCATAATTACAACATTCTTTCATTAGTTCTATTAATAGGATAACAACAATAATTAAAGAATTTTTTTCTCAAAGATAAGCATGAAGTAGGAAATTGGTGTAATTAAAGATGAATATTAAGAGATCAAACTTTGAGGATAAAGTGAAGACATGATCTTCCTAAAGAGACACATGAGACATCAGGTATGATTTAATCCAAAAAATTGATTCTGATTTTTTGAAAAAAATCAAATAAAAAATCCAGTCTTAATTATATTAGCTATTATAGAAATTTGAATATAATTATTATAATTGAAATTGAAAGAATAATTAATGTTATATTTAAAAAACCATGGACGGGACGCAGGGCTGAATTCCTAATCAAAGAAATGGACGAACGTATTAATTTTTAATTTTTCCGAAATGCGAAGTCCACCGTTAGATTATCAGTTATTGTACAATGGCTGTGCGACCCAGATTTGTTATATATACCCCCTAGTACTCGAAATAGCGTGAAAGGTACTTCAGTTAGTTTTTTTGAATTTTACTTTATTTTATTTTAATAGGAGTTGACTTTTCAAAAGGACTTCAAATATAGATAAGCTTTTTGACTACTATAATATGTATATGGTGAGTTTATTTCTTTGGGATGAAGATTCAAAATTGTTTTAAGAACCACGATAACATTTCTTTTTTTATTTTTGTAGGTCCTGAGTTTGTGATGTAATTCTGGTAAATTATATATTCATGTAAGAAATTTTTTTTTTTTAAAAAAAAAAAATTTTTTTATATTAACAGGAATAACGAAATATGCAAAAATTGACTGGAAGATAAACAAATGAAATGGTAAATAAGATCCATGATGGTCTCAATATATTAAATTATCAAGGTAATGAATACCGGAATGAGTATATCAAATGATATGGCTGGGTGGGTTTAAATTATGAAAAAGTAAATTATACTTTGATAACAATTAGATCTTTAATAACTCGAAATTTATCTTACAGGTGAACGCTAGGATTCTTCCCACACCAACAATTGAGCCGAAAGATGGAGTATGGAATTTGCGGGATAAATGATTAGCAACTGATGTTACCCTTGGTTACATGGAAGACCTGAGAAAATAATATTGTACGAATATAAACGTTAAACTTGGAGAAATGAATTCACCCCTCATTCCTGATTCCTTAGCATATTATGTTTTAGATGATCGCCCACAATTTTGATAGGTGCAGACGTATCTCATTCCACATCTGGTAAACTATGGTTTTTTTTTTCACACAAAATATTTTTTATATATTTATGTTTCTCGCATCTCTTCAGGAGATAACAGAAGTCCATCTTATGCTGCCCTTTGTGGTTTTATATATACATATATATTAAATTTGATTGAAATTTTTAATTTGTAGCGACAATTGCTTCGGTGTTTGGAAATTGAATTATTGAGAAAATTAAACAAGTCAGATGCTGCTGCTTATAAAGCATATCGATTACAAGTGAAGGAAAAGGCATTCATCATCATCTGATATTGTTGATAATGGTCTTATTGCATGTGAACGTGTGAACGTGTAGTTGGTGGTTCAGTAGGTAAGTATTTTACTTGCACTAATGAATTGCATATTGATTCACCAAGTAACAATAAATGCATTCCATCACGTTATGCAGCAACAATTAGAGTTCAAACCAGGCGTCACGAAAAAAATAGTAGATCTGGCGGTCTAAGATTGTTAAAACATTTTATCGGACTTATGGGTTTAAACCAGAAGAATATTTTATTTAATGAGACGGAGTTTGTTTAAACATACAGTGGCCAAACATGATTTGAAGATGGTGGATAGTAATGCGAAATCTTAACATCATACGGGGGCGTATGTTAAAGAATGAATTGAGGTATTTATTTTATATCATTCCTAGATTTATTCACGCGTTAATTTATTTGACCAATTCTACGCTCTCAAAGCTAATTATAGACCCACTATTACGTTTGACATGGTACAGAAGAGGCATCACACATTTTTTCCCAATGGAAAAGCAAATTTTAGCGATAGTATCAGGAAATTGTCTTCCCGGTACCGTTGCTAAAGAGGATATTACACATCCATTTGAATTCGATTTTTGTAAGTAATTAAATTTATATAAATTTATAACATTTCTTCCGTTCGGAAAAACTTAATTCCTCCATAGATTCCTAGCTGTCTGATTTAATCTCCAATACTCGCCCATCTTTGTTCACTCGCAACTAAAAGCGGAATACGACTTGTTTGTACAGACTCTCAAGTTTAAACGCCTTACGCGCAACAATTGGTGTATTTACAGAACGCGGTTCTTCTTCCGCGAGTGGAATATCGTGCTCAGCTCACCTACATTTCCTCGGCTCTTTCAGACGACTATTCAAAAATAAAAAAATGGATTACCCTATCTTTCAGTTGTCCTGTACAGTTCTGGGTTTTATGGACTCAAAGACCTTTCTAGTTCTTTACAAAAGAAACGCCTTGTCTCGTTCTATAACATGATCAATCATCATCTTTCCTCACACTTTGCTCGCATCCGTCTCTTTTGCTCCGTAATTTTATGGCCATTGGGATGGATCCGCGAACCCTTCCAGATTTCTCACCATGCTCTCCAAAAAAAAGATTCACTAATGATTGGTTCTTCCAATGCCTACCAGATGCGAAAGACCGGAATATTCCTTTTCAACCTCCCGACCGATCATCCTTTCCTACCTTAAAAGGACAATTTCCACTTTGATCCATACTCCCGGAGTTTAGCAACCATATTTTTTCGCTATCCAAGCATCATATCTACTTTCTCTCACAACTAGCATCGGATGAAGGAATGTACTTACTTTCATGGGCGGACCTTCGCAGATTACGTTTAGTCAATCTCAAAGGTGGTATACCAAATTGGTATCCCGCTCTACAATCCTATTGTATGCCCATCCCCGAACTCGCTTAAACTGCGCTGTAGTTACGAATATCTTCCGTTCTCTGCTCCCTCTGTTCCTGACATGGGCAAAACTACTAACACGACATGGGTCTCAACTCTTTCTGATATTATGGATAGAAACTCCATTATCTTTGGACGAATTATTTACAATCTCCTACCGACGAAGCGGTTCTCACGCATTGGATTATTCGTCCTGTTAGAACACCCACATTTAGTTTAAACTATTTGCATCATCTTTATGCTGTTGGGCTTGATGTCGATACCTTAAGTGTGTCGTTAGAGTTGCATTTCTAATTATTATTTGGCTAGTTGCTGGAAACTTTCTTAATATTCAAAGTCCACCCAGTCTAATATGTAACTTTTCATCCATTTGCTTTAGGGAAAATAGTCGCGACGTTATTAAAAGATAAGAAACTGATCGGATTTGAGGAGCAATCAGCAGGTAACTCTTTAGTATTTTCAACTAGTGACAATGCTGAAGTTATATTCGACTTTGATAATACCCTTATTTCAAAAAACCTCTTTATTAGTGACCATTGAAGGCTTACTACATAGGGCAACTACTTGTGGAACAAGCAAACTGAAGAAGAATTTGGTTATTATTTAGCGGGTTTAATTAAGGGTGACGAAAATATTGGAGAAAGAAGAATTGAAATAGCTTTCCATATAGATGATATCAGTTCTGATAATTATCTATTATATTAAATGGAGCGAAAAGAACACTTGACTATGGATGGATTAGCTAAAATTCTAAACTCCAGGAAAACCTCAGAGACTAAAAAAGAAATTGCTTTACTGCTGCTTTGCTAGGGATGAAAATATAGTCCAATGGAGGAACTGCTTCGACTCGTCACTTTAAGAAAATTGGCCAGGAAAAATTCTCATGGAAACGAATTTAATTGACACGAGCTTATTCAAACAGGGATTAAAATCTTTTCTTGGTTAGCTACTGGTTTCATTTTTCTGTTTACCATTGTGAGTCTTTCGGGTATAAGCTTAGCCAACGCATCTCTTGAAATAGCAATGCATGATACTTATGTAGTTGCCCATTTCCACAAAATAATAGGTAAATCTTACAACGAACTTTTAGGTAAAATACATTTCTGGACTTTCTTCATAGGAGTTAAGTTAACTTTTATGCCTATGCACTCATTGGTCTTAGCGAGAATGCCTAGACGTATTTCAGATTATCCAGATGCCTTTGCAGGTTGGAATATGGTTGCTTCATTTGGTTCTGTAATTTCACTAGTTTCTATTTTTCCTTTCAATTCAAGAAGGTTTCAACCCACTCAGATGACGCTCTCAAGTCTCAACAATCGTGTAGATTTCCTTGCCGAGACGCATGGTGAATCATCTTCTCACCTGGACTTTGAGTTATCTAAATGTACTTCTCTCTCCACTTTGGCCTTTTATGATGATCGCATCATTGATGTGAATCTCCGTCACTTCCTGAACGATCAGTTTGAACAACTTTATTTCTGTAACTTCTTCCTTTTGGATAGATTCCGGCGATATACATCTCAAGCCCATTTGTTTTCCGGCTTATTGCTGGAAATTTCACTCTTTACGATCACCCGAGAGCTTCTTTCCGCAACGATGTCAATCGATTTGGTTGGTATGTTAATTACTGATTCTCTAATACGATAATAATATTAATGCATTAAAAGATAACATTTCTTAATAAAATTACTAATGAAATAAATCATAAGACCCAACAGTCCGGCGATCCAACCAAGGAAAGAGCACGAAGCGTCCAAGTCCGAATTTTTGGAAGCAACGGGAAATTCTGCCGAAAAGAAGGAAAGAATTTATTGCCAGAGGTGGAGGAGGGAGTCGGGTTTGGAAAATCGATTGAGGAGGTCGGCGTCATCTTTTATTTTTGCAGGAGAGAAGTCCAATGGGAGAAATTATTACATCGTTCGCGTTAATGGAATTAGCTTGAAGCTTGAAGACGGCACTGAAGATGCAATTATTCGCGCATGACTTGAGAAAATATGTCGATCAGATCCATCGGGAAAAATCCTCTGAGTAAGTCAAAAGCGTTAGGGATAAGAGAGGAGTTCGTGGACCAACAAGAAAAAGAATCAAATGTGTCCAGTGGAGTGGGAGAGGCGTTGCATTTTTAACGGCAATGGCAAGTTTCTTCCTGAGAACCGAAGAATTCTGTACCAATGGAAGGAATGGACAGATTCACACGTGATTTATATCTTCCGGAGCAGTATGGCAAAACGGACAAAGTAAGTCCGGAGAGTACATATGGGGGATCGTTACAAATGTTATGATCTGCTACGTTGTACATGTGCAGTAACTTTGGTAAAATCTTAAATTACATTTTTATCATATATTTAAATAGGAAGGGACCATTTACATAATACCTATAAGGAACGTACTAACATTTCATTTGTTTTATTTTTTGCAGGTGTTGGTTTCTTTGAAAGGTACTTTCACGTGTGTTCAGGTTTTCGAATAACGGTAATTTTTTTTTGGAAATAGAGTTCACTATTAGCTTTAAGAAACATACTGATGTTTCTTTTTATGTTTTGTGGATTTGGAGCTTTGATTATTATTTGCCAGTTGGTATTAAGTTTAGTTGGTATTAAGTTTCAAAATGAAACTAAATTATTTTTTCTTTGATTAAGAACATTTTATTAACATTTTCTTTCTCATTTTAGATATAATAAGTTTCAAACTTTTAAAAACTTTTTGCTTTCTTTATTAAAAAACGTCTTATTAGTATCTTTTCCCTTTTGTAGGTTCTGGTTTCATTCATTGGGTGATAAGTGTAAGTTTCGATTATTTTGGAACTTTCTCTTTTGTTAGAATCATTTTCTAACATTTCCTTATTTTTGGTCTGGTCTTTGATTCTCTGGATAGCAGAATGTAAGTTTTAAACGGACTGAAACTTTGTTTTTTTTTAGAAACATTTTATTAATACTTCCTTTTTCTTACCATAGCGATAGGTTTTGGTCATCGTTTTTAGGCGATAGGTGTAAATTTCTATATAATAATTGTTGTTAATGGTTTGGAACACTTGTTCCAGTTGGTTCGATTCCAACAAACAACTATTCAGAATTTTAATGTTTCATTAATTTATGATAATAAAATGCAGTGCATATAAAATTTAGCGTAAAATCATTGTGACGTTGAAAATGTTGGGACTGGAAATTTGAGAAGGCAAGTTTCAACTCTTGATTGTTTAATGAATACTTTCATAAATTATTTCTTTATGTTATTTTATGTTTTTTAACATGTCATGACAATACTTACGTGACCTTCATACGTTCCAGAGAGAAATCAGAGTAATTAAATATATCACAAGATACTATTTGACATTTTAAAATGGGATGATGCGCTTTATTTATGAAAAGTATAGTAATTTGATCAGATTATTTTTTAAAAGTTTCATTTATTTGTTGTATTAGTTACTATTCTAAATAAATCAAATAATAGTAATGGGATATTTAGACTAATTTGATGGAAAATCAAAACCAAATATATGAGATCAAAATAATTGTATTTATTTTTTATAAATATATATTCTTAATTTTTTTTAAAAAAAAACAAATAAAATAACTTAGTACATAGATGTCTTTACATGAATATTTGTTTTGATGATGTATAATAAATGAAAAAAATCCTCCATCCAATTTTAAAGAAACTTTTTTTCATCAGACTAATTTCTGATCTAAACCTCATTGAACAATCTAGCTTGATGTATTGTATTTTTTTACCAAAAATAATGAAGATAGTAATTTTAGAAAAATTATTAAGAAAATCCTTTTGATATATTAAAGAATAAATTAATTAAAGAACTCTTTTCCATCACATTTAGAAATGTTGTTAAGAAATCATCCTTCCAGTATATTAAAAAAATTATTTAGAATAGTCCATTAAAATATTTCTATTTTTTGTAAATAATAAAAAAAGGCTAAATTTAAATAAAATATGTATAATTGGTGAATCAATTGGATCTTAATGCTTTACCTATACTATAATGACTGTTAGGATTAGAAACAGTTATAGCAGAAATATTTAGAAAAATTGTTAAAAAATACCACTCTTCCACTACAATTAAAAAAATTATAAAAAATAAATCTAACTAAAAGAAACCCTTTTCATCATATTTAAAAAAATTAAAAAAATTATTTAGAATAATTCAAGGTATCCTATCAGATGGAAATCATCACTTAATGCTTTACCTATACTGTAATGACTGCCAGAAAAACAGTTATAGCAGAAATATTTAGAAAAATCGTTAAAGAAATACCACTCTCCTACTACAATTAGAAAAATTATAAAGAATAAATCTAACTAAAAGGAACCCTTTTCATCCTATTTAAGAAAACTATCTAGAATATATTCGAAAATAAATCTCCTATTATAATTAGAAAATTGTTAAAGAAGAACTTATTCCCCTTTGGATTCATGAGAAAATGATCAATTATTATTATAGTACTAACACTATAAAAATCATAATAAAAAAAAAAAAAATTTTTTTGCTTTTACAACAAAATATGAGTTATAAAATTAATAAATACCAGAATTTTTTGGTATCATTTTCTTCTGATTTGAAATGAAATTTAGTTTTGCAAATAAAAGTTTTTCTGAGATGTACTAAGGTGTGAAAAAAAGGAAGCATCCTTTTAATAGGTAGTAGCTTACAATAAAAAAAAGATCAATTAATTGATCATATTTATTCCATAGTAAAATCTTCTCTATTATTTGATGCAAATAATAAATGACTGTTGGTTGAGTCAAGTTATTTAATTTAAAACGGGAAAGATACAACATATTCTAAATTAGTAAAAAAAAAAAAAAAATCCAAAAAAAATTTTCATAAAATCCACTTGTTTTTTTTTGAATTGAAGTATATTTTCATAAGATAGACATTTATATTCCAACTTTTGAAAAATGTTTCTAAACCTTTTACCAAGAAATTCCAACTACTTTCAAAGAATTTTTCTATTTTATTTTAAATTCGAGACTGATTATCTCATTCTTTCTATTTACATTTTAATGATTTGGCAGATGACCTAACTTTTCTCTGCCATTCAAACTTAAGAGAGTAATAGCTATATTTTTTAGAGTTTCGTTCACAGGTCGCTGGAGTAGGGGTTGGAATCGAAAATCGAATCTTTTCAAGATTTTTCTTATAGACGACCAACCTGACTTTGAATCAGTTTCTAATTTCAGCAAAAATAATCAGCACTTGGCCGGCATGAAAAATTACTTTGGAGTCAGGTTTAATAACTTACATGTAAAAAATTGCTGAGAATCGATTCTCGAGAATCGATTTTACTATGTTTTGTCGATTTTTGATTAATCGATTCCAATCCCTACGTTTGGAGGAAAATATCATAAAGCAATTGCCTACTTGTCTTCTTTATCCCACTTTGTTTCTTAATGTAAAAACTATAGGTATTTTTTGACTTCCGAATAATTTGAAAGTTTTGAAATTTTATTTAAAAGGATTGAAAAAATATGCTCTTCCGCTTCTTCTGAATTTTATGGTTCAAACTGTTCAGATATTTTGAGTTATTTAAGTTTATTTGATTTTGGAGGGTGCAAAAAAATTTGGTAATATTCTCTTAAGGTTGATTGTATGACAAATAGAAAAAGTGATACACTATGTGAGACGGATAATAAATAATATTATCGTACGTGAGGTATTATTTATCAATAATTAAAAATCTGTATTCACGTTAAATTTAAATAATAATTAATAACTTTCTTCTAATATGATAATTACTAAGCAAAAATCAATTAAAAATGCCTACCATTATTACCAGTTATTGGATCAATGCTACTCTGCAATAATATGTTCCTCTTACTTTGAAGCGAAAAACTGATTGGCCCAAATTTAGCGTAAGAGCACTTGTACTGCTTTTTTCCTTCTTCAGAGAAAAACTATTTTTGGCCACTCAACCCAGAAAACCAAAAGAAAGAAGTGATGAGTACAATCTTCATACAAAACTGTTGTTTTTGATTACCAATTCTTCATGTTTAAACATATTAAATCATTAATGTGGCTTTGATGTTCAATTTATGTGATAATACGTTATATGCGAGATAAGAAATTCGCTAACCAAAAGATTATCTCTCGCTTTGTTAAACTACTACTTTAATCGACCGCCACCGCTGGCTGATGAAATTTTGCTACTAAATTATCTGCGTTCAAACAAATTTGACAACAATCATGAATCTTGATTCAATTCAATCATTCAGCAAATCAATAGGTTGAACTGTACCAATATACTCTTTTCTACAAGCACCAGATTGTAATTTTCAATAAAATTTCATCCAGATGATCCTTCACCAAACTACCATGATTTATTAGTCTTAGTCTGACGATTATTGTCCAAAGTTAATGAAAAAAAATATTTTTTGAATATACAGAAAAGTTTCAACAGGTTTAAACCATTTTGCCCAACCTTTGCTTGCCACTAGTTAGTAAATACAAATTCTAGGTTGACATTATGTTCAGTTACTGGTAGATTCATCATTTCATGTTGGTGCTAAAATTTTTCTTTGAATATTATCTTTCTTAAACATTAAATTTTATTCTGTCTTCCAGCCATAAGTAGGGAACAAAACCCCATTTAGCTAACCAAACTACCAGAGTGCGAAAAAAATTTCTGAATTGAAAAAAAGACCATTAAATCAAACAGTTAGAAA